TTGGACTGTTAAATTCCTATCCACAAGCTGCTCCAACCCCTGGCTGAGTTCTCTAGTCAGAATTACTCTGAACAGAGCACTCAAGCTCCTGTTCTCCCCAGCTCTCCGTGATACTGCACTGACTAGTTAGTGAAGTGGGTTGCATATCCTGTGCATCACAGGCAATACAGTTTGCACATTGTTTATATGCTACTTTCAAAAAACTAATACAACCGATTAAGTCCCTAATCTTGAACACTACATACATATATAAGATTAACCCCCTACAAATACACGATTTTAAAAGAAAATGTTTGAAATTTGATCCTCCTTTACTGCCTGCCAAGACCTGAGTTTTTAGTTCCATGCCTTCACATTATTAGGGTTGTTAACTTTTGACATGTAAAGAAAGGTCAGAAACTGTTTGAGTTTTAGGGCACGGCTACACTAGAGAGTTTATAACTGCGCAGCTGCTCTGATGCAGCTGAGCTGCTGTAAGCTCTCTAATGTAGCAGCTTTAAGTTGACGACAGAGAGCTCTCTCCCGTCGGCTTAACTACTCCAGCCCTCACAAGCAGCTGTCGCTATGTCCCACCGACATAGTGCTATCTACACCAGCACAGCTTATGTCAGTGTACCTTATGTTGTTCAGGGGGGTGATTTATTCACCTCCCCTCAGCGACATAGGTTATGCCGAGATAAGCTGTAGTGTAGACAAAGCCTTCATACTGCAGGAGAAGCAGAGAGTTTACTAAACTTGGATGCTAGCCTTTCAGTTCAACTTTAGCACGTATTTATTTGTGACTTTAAGTTTAAACACACACATTCTGTTAAGCAGAAAAAAAAAAAAAAAAGGGAGGACGGAATCCTGTTGGAGATCCCAAACATTGAATTGCAAGTCCTAAAGCCTTAGGATGAAAGTACTCTGGTGCCATAGGTATCTCTGTAAATTAGAGACAGGAAGTTGAAGGACTCATACATTTTGTTTTTCAAATGCATGATTTGATTGCACTTCATGCAACTGAACTTCCTCAGAAAGAAAAATAAATAAATGGGAGGTTCATAACCAACCCAAGGCAATCTTCAGAAGAGTGGAGCTTTACCTGGCACACAGGACCACAATTTCCTCTCCCAGTGCCTACTACTATAAACTAATCAGACTGCCGTGTGTTAATGCCCTCCACCCCGGAGCTGGCTACATGTTAGAAAGGCATATGTCTTGTGTATAGCTCTAAGGTTCTTGCACACTGATAGGTTTTATACACAACAAATATAAATAGTCTTTATTACACTAATTTAATGTTCAAAATTTACATCAATTGCCTTTTGGGTGGTGGTGGCAGAATTCCATGAACATGTTTTCTATTTCTATTTCTATTCTCTTTTCATGTCTGCAGTGTTGTTGTAGCCACGTTGGTCCCTAGAAATTAAAAAGACAAGGTGAGTGAGGTAATATCTTTTACTGGACCAACTTCAGGTTGGTACAATAAAAGATATTACCTCCCCTATCTTGTCTCTCTAATTCTCTTTTCAGAGCTTTTACCAAAGTTTCAACTTTACATGGATAACTGTACTTGGATCTCATTCAAAATAATTTCAAGGGAGGGTTTTTTTTTTTTAATATCTATTTCAATTAAGGTCATTGTTTCAAACAGTAACAGGATCATAAATTGTCCCTGGTTTAGATATGCAGGGTCCTTAGTTCAGTAAACACTTTAGTAGGAACCTCATAGCATTTTGGTAAAGTAAACTGTTTAGTATGAGGTTGCTTTTGTAAATATCAATGGCTGCTGTGGCTAAAACATCTCACAGCCCCATTAAATAATAAATTGCTCATTCTGAAGGGCAGCTGGTGCACGGTCAGCAGCCAATCATAGTGCACCAAATATTCCAGAAGCCAACAGAAATATCCGCTGGTGCAAGGACTTTCACCAACTACTGAAATGTAGGCCTCTGGTCAATCTCTAGCTTTACCTGTTCTTTTGAGGCTGGTTTTCCTATTCTGGTTAGAATCTGTCTAGCCACTGATTGATCTGGCAATACTCTACCGGGTAATAAAAGGAAACTGCTGTATAACACTTGTCTCAGTTTTCCACTGCATAAGGGTATTGATATTTTTAAAAAGCAAATGAGGGGAAAAAAACCTTTTCAGAGAAGTTACATGATCACAACTCATTTCCACAAATTCCAGGGAGGACTCTGCCTGCTGAGATTAAGACACAAATCTGAATCTTAAATGAGTTATGCCAACATTTTCAAAAATACCGTAAGGATTTATTTTTAATTTTCTCTCCTAACATTTTAATAAACACTTTTCCTACATCAACCTACAGGTATGCTATATACTTTTTGTCATTTGTAAATACTGCATAACTTCTGGTATTTTGTATAATTTATTCTACAAAATGTTTTTGGGGGTTGTTGATGGGGTTTAATATTTTTCAGTTTTCTACACAATACTCTTTATACCCACACAACATCACATTGAAATCAGTGGGGTTCTCTGCACATGCGTAAGGATCTATTTGAACAGATCCAACGGCAACGTTGTAACCTTAAATTGTACTTTATGAGCAAGCAATCTGAGAAACTTTTACCAGGGAATAGACTAGGCGTTCAAAATCCCCTTTAAGGAAGCAAGCGTTTTAGAATAACTTTTTTTTTTTTTTAAGAGTTTGTCTACATTTCACATCCCCCATTCTTATGCAACAGAAAAACTGCTAAAGCTTCCTTGTGTTTATTAATATGGTAGTGAGTACTTAGTACTTTATATAGAACTTAATTTCAAAGCAGTGTACAAACATCAATTAATCATCTCAGCATCAATGTGATGTAGGTGAGTATTTTCCAGAAAGTAAACCAGCAATTTGCAGTTAAACAATAGATTTTTTTTCAGCCCTGGGATAACTGCCCAGAGTACACTCGTCATAGAGTAGTGAACATCTTGGATTACATTATAAGAAACCAGACCCTGCCACTGTCCTCTGCATACTGCAATCCCACAGGTTGAGTGCAGATCAGTGTCAGGGTTGCCTACAGAAGGGCTTATGATTTACAGTGCCCTTTGCTTCCATATGTCAGACTGTGCATTTTCTACACTGCTTCTGCCAGTGGAGGAGAAAAAGATCAGAAGAGAAAAAGATCACAAGGATTACAGAAGCAGCCACTAAACCTGTTCACTGGTGCATAAGGAAACTTCTGGAGATTTTGAGAAGCCAATCCCAATTTGGCAACCTGTCATGCCACTGCCAATTAGCTAGGAGCATCATAAACACATTGTGGAGGTGGTCACCCCTTAAATGATGGCCAAAGTGGAAAAATGGCATGTTATTTGGGGTGATTACCTAAGCGGCAAGGCAATAATTGATAACTGCATGAAAAACACAGTTTGTAAAGACACAATGTTTTATTTGTGGTGCAAAAATCTTATTCTGTATCATGAGGATTAGTACTTGTATAATGGCTGCTGAAATATGGGACAAAGCACATCCTATACTAATTAGCTATGGGTGTGATGCACTAGGCACAAAGTAAGGATCATAATTTAAAATTAGGGGCAGGGGCTCTGTCGTAGTCTACGCTACAGACTTATGATGGTGTAACTACGTCACCTGGAGCGTGGAAAATCCAAACCCCTGGGCGAATTATGTTGACCGAATTCGTGGTGTAGGCAGGACTATGTTGATGGGAGGGTTTCTTGCGTCAGCATAGGTACCAACTCTTTGGGGAAGTGGAGTACCTGCACTGATGGGAGAAGTTCTTGTCAATGTAGGTAGTATCTTCACTAAGTCGCACAGGAGCATAGCAGCATCAGTGCAGCTGCACTGCTGCAGTGCTGTATGTGTACACAAGCTCTTTATCTCACAGGTCCCATTCCTGCATAAGAATTTGCACAGTGTAGTAGTAGTAGTAAGTTAAACACATGCCTAAGGGTATATCTACACTGCATTGTAAACCTGGTCTCAGCCTCAGGCTTGATCCCACCTGTGTCCACAAAGACATTTGTCTAATTCAGGTCAACAAGCAATCAGGACCCAGGTCCTTATGAGCCCAAGGCCTGGTCTATAATACAGAGTTAGGTCTACGTAAGGCAGCTTACATCAACCTAACTGTGTAAAGCATCTACACAAAAATGTAGCACCCACCAATGTAACTCGCCCACTACACTGAGTGCTTAGGTCAATGTAGTTAGGTCGATGCAGTGTCAGCGTAGACACTGCGTTGCTTACATTGACTGTTACTGCCTTTCAGAAGCCATCCCACAATGCCCCGCACTGACAGTCAATCATCCCTGCAAATACTCCTGGCACAGACAGAAGGAGCATAACTGGTCATGCAAAAGCGATTTAATTACCACAAGCCCTGTTATCTTGAAGAGTGGATGTAGCACCAGCCCCAGTAAGAAGGTCTGTGTGACGGTGCAGTATGGATGTGTTAACATGGCTGTGAGCCCGGGCCCAGTAATCGTAAAATCAGGTTTACAACGTGGTGCAGATGCTCAAGTGGAAACCCAGCGGGTGCACCCCAGGAACCACAGCCCGGGGCTCAGTGCAGCATTGACATAATCTGCTTGCAGAATCAGGGTCTTGGTCATGGTGGGAACTGACTCCCAGAAACCAAGGACAGGAGGTGCGGGCTGGACTTCAGCGGCTCTAGCCCCAGCAGAAGTCCCGGTGCCGTGCGGGTCCCAGCCAGGATCTTCCCCCCGGCCCCAAGCACTTACATCTTGGTGGTCCTCCACCACGCAGACGGGCAGCGCCGGGTAATTCCGCAGGCGGCCCGGCTGCCCCGCGCTGCTCATGGCGGCCGCGCTAGGACGAGCGTTCGGAGCTACGAACCCCCGGGCCCGGCAACGTTCTAGGACCCGAACGCCGGGGGCCGCAACGTTCCGCGGAGCGCCAGCGTGGGACACCCGCGCCGCGAGGGGAGGAGCAAGGGCGACCCCACCGCCGCGGGCCAGGCTGGGGCTCTCCCGCGGGGGAGGGGGGCTCACGGGGCCGCCAGGGGGCTCGGCGCTCGCCGGTCCCTTCCCCTGCCCATTGCCCGCCCCTCTCAGTGACCCGGCGCGGATGGTTGCGGTGGGGTTTCCGCGCGATGTGGATGCTCCTCCCTCCCTTTTCCTGTTCCGGAGCCGGTGTCTGCCTGGCTGGTGCCCGGCCTGCGCCGCGGGTGTCTGGCTCCACGGGCTGCGAGGGGGTCTCGTTCAGGTAGGATGGATGCTCCCGCCCCCTTGCTAGGAGAGCGGGTCAGATTGGGGGAGGGAAAGCGAGCCTCTCCCTCCCCCCTTAGTGCTAAGAGCGGGCTCCCTCTTCTCCCGGTCAGTCCCCCCGCTCCCTTCTCAGGAACCCGTGTCCCCCTCTGCTTCCTTTTCCTTCCCGGCTGGGTGCTTTGCTCGGGATTCTGGGTAGCATTGGAGCTGGCTGGGCTAGATTCACGTGGGTCCTTCCTCCTTTTCACTGGGTGGTTTAGGTTTGAGGGGGCCCAGAAAGCCGCCAGACCATGAGTTTCGCCTGGGCCTGGGGTTTATTTTAAGATTGACCCCCTCTTCCGCCCGTAGAGCTCTGGCTACAGACCTGTGTATTTCCCCTGCATTTTGTTTCATGTGTGCAGCAGCTCAGTTGAGTTACAGGTTGATGGCAAAATCCCAACTCATCAGAGTTTTGCCTGGCTTCAAGGTTTGTCCCGTGCATGGCTAAAGGCTTGTCCGCACTAGGAAGTTGTAATGCTTTAACAGTACCGGTATAGTCAAAACTGTATAACCTTCCCTAGTGTGGATGCAGTTATATCAGTATAAAGATGCTTATAGTGGTATAGCTGTTGTTGTATGGGAAAGGAAATAACTATACTGGTAGAATTAAAATGGTATAGCCCTGGTACTCTGGATGCAGTTACATCGGTATAAAGGTGTTTTAGTTATTCCTATAGAGGAAAAGGAATACCTGTAGGGGCATAAGTCACTTTTTATGCCATTAAAAATATCATCCCCCTAACTGAAATAGCCCCTACCTGGTAAAACAACTTTTAAGTGTAAACAAGGCCTAAATGTGATGCACTGCTTCTACAACCCTATCATATCTCTCAGACTGACTGTCTGTGATGGCCTCTTGCCACTACCCTTTCTGGCTTTAAGGTCAGACATAAGGTGCTGTCTGTTAGTAGGGTGGAGTAAAAATAGAGAGATTACTTTCAGACTTTTCAAACAACATGCTTCTAGATTGCTAGTATGGGGAGTTTGGGTGTATCTGTGTCTAGATACGTAAATAGCTGCCATCACCATAGTATCGGTGGGAAGAAAAGAGAGTTTATTAGGGCTTGTCTACACTACAAAATTAGGTTAACTTAATTTAGGAGTGTGGGGTACTGACAGCTGTGTGGGGCTCACAGCTGGAGCAAGCCTCCCTCACCCCCACCCCCCCAGCTCTGAAGTGACAGCCTGAGCTGTGAGCTCAGTTTCACAGCATGGAGCCTACCAGCAATGAAATTGACATTCTTGTCAGTTATAGGTCTGCCTCTGGCTCAGAGTGGCAGTGCAAGGCTCAAAGCTGAAGCCATGAAACTGACAAGAATGTCAATTTCATTGACGGTAGGTTCCCTGCCCTGAAATTGAGCACCATGGTACCTCACAGTTGGGTTGTCACCCCAGGGTGGGGGCTCCAGCTGTGAGTCCAGTGCCTGGCTGACAGCTGGGGGTGGGTGGGTGGATGGGCAGCTGTGAGCCCCATGCTGTGAAAGTGAGAAGAATGACAGCAACAGGCAATGTAAGTAAATACACCGACATTAGTACTATGTCTCTTGTGGAGGGGGAATTATTATGTTGGGATAGCAGACCACTTACTTCGGTGGAAGCATCATTGTAGTGTAGACACTGACATAATTAGGTTGACCTAAGCTGCCTTATGTTGAACTAACTCTGTAGTATAGACCAAGCTTGGGGTTTAAATGTGGACCCAAAATGAAGCTAAATTAAAATTGCAACAGAGGGAACTTCGAAATGACTTGTGCATTCTACATTATTCCACAACTTTTCATTTTCAAATTCATACTTTGTTATCGGCAAGGTGACTAAATTATGATAGTGCATCTGAGAACGTTATTTCCATGAGAGATGTGGGTAGATCAAGGACTGTAATCAGAGACAGTTGATGAATATAGTCCTTCCTTAGAATATTTATTTCTTCTTATGTGACGATCCCTCAGCAGAAATATATGCAGTGGACTGCTCTAAGGCACCATTGTGTAGAGGCCTGTGCTCTAAATTGTCTAAGGTAACAAAAGTCCAGCTAGTTCATTATATACAATTGTTGAAAAAAGTCAACAGAAAACTAAAGACAGGCTGGATTAGTCCAAACAGAAAGATCTATTGCAGAGGTCCCCAAACTGGGGGGGGTTCGGAGGAGCATTCAGGGGTACATTGCAGGGCCCAGACCAGCCTCCATTGGGGGTGGGGAGGGAGTGCCACCCAGCCCCACGCTGCTCCCAGCTCTGCTCTTGGCCCCGCCTCCAGACGCTGCTGTGCACCCGGCCACAGCCCCACTCCTGGCCACGGCCGCGGCTCTATTTGCAGCCCCGGCCCCACTCCTGGCCCCCGAACCGCCCTCAGCTGGGGCCCTAGCCTTGCCCCCCCCATACCTCTGTCCGCATTTCCCCAACCCCACCCCCGGAGCTGCGGCCCCGCACCGGGCCCCAGCTCGAGCGGTGGTGGTGGTGGGGGGGAGGGCTGCGGACAGGAGTGAGGGGGGATGCAACGCTGGAAAGGTGATATCAATAAACTAGTGATCCCCAAACAAGTATTGTGTTAAGATCATGATTGGTAAACAGGAAAAGGATGAGACTGGAAAGTAGGCCTAATTGGTGAACAAAATAATGAGGGAATGAACTATTTTGCACAATACCCCTTTTGGGGATCCTTTAAAAATGAGATTTTTGCTGGGGAGGTCATGACATGAGGTGGAAACACATGGACTAGAAGGAATAAAAATACCATCACTGTCTCCAGAGACCTTGGGATCCACCACAATGCCTCTTGGACCTTTGTTGTCCTGCTCCTGAAAGATGTTCTGATCAGATTGGGCCAGAGAGATGGACCCAGGGACTTCACCACCTCTACCATCTAAATTCTGAGCAGCACTTGGAATGTCAGACCTGGCTTCCTGCCGACATCACCTCCCTCGTGTCTTTTTTCCTTCCCAACCTTATTTTAGTTCTCCTCTTTTCTGTCTTTCTCCTTTTGCCTCTGCCTAATAATAATCTGATTTAGCTGGCCAAGACTGCATCTTTTACAACACTGCTGTGAGCCCATGACCAGAGAGGCAGCTAAAGACAGTATCCTAAACAGCCCAACACTGGTACAAATTTGCCAGGTCTCAGAGCGGCTGCTAAGATCATGTGTTGTGCCTGTGTTTCTCCAAGTAAGAGCCAGAAACAGAAACTGCATTTTTAATCTTTGCTATTCTTGTGTGTGTGTTTTTAAAGATAGCAGGGTCAAACTTTAACAACAGCAGCTCCAGCCCATCTCAACTAACCTTTTCTCTTTCCCCCAAAAAGGACAGTTATTACCATCATTTATACAATCACACAGTCTGTCAAACAGGAAGGGGGGAGGGAAGTTTCCTTATAAAAACTCCATGCCATTAAAGGGAATATGGAATACTGTTAAAATGGAAGCAGTACTTAATGTTTCATATGTCTAATGCTTTAAATGTTTTTTCCTTCTTTTTCTGCATCTTTAATAAAAGCTTATTAAGTTTTTTTGAATGGTGGTTGTTGCTACAGGACTAGGCTTGCTGCGGGCTGTGTGCTCTAAACCCGAAACCATGTTTAATTGTTGTGCAGTGATAGGGTCTCATTAATACCTTTGGCTCTCTGAGCCCATTTATTCCATTGAAATTAACAGGGAATGTGATTATGCCTTGGTTATCCCTGAATTTGGCTGCAAACATGCATCCAATTTGTAGAGCATCTGGCTAGGTAAATGACAAGTGGAGGAGTTAATGCTTACTTTTAAAATCATTGTATGTTTTATTTATTTCTTCATCCTTCATGGGTTGCTTGTTTTCTTAGATTGTGAGTTCTTTGACTGAAAGGATTGTGTATGTTTGGAAATTGCCAGGTGTGTTGTGGACACTGACATAGCCCCAATAATAATAATAATAATTAGTAATTAATAAATGAAGTATTGCACCTCACCATGTTAAATAACAGGGCTGAAGCTCTGGACAAATCAAGGCTTCAGCCTGGTTTCTCAGTTAGGTCTGATCAAGCCTTCACTTGATTGTGAAATGTCGATACAGTTCAAAGTACCCTGCAAAGTACTCCACCAATTAAATTAGAGGACAAGAAGATTGGAAGCAGGTTCCCAAATATGGTTATATTTGTAGGGTAGACAAAGCCTTTATGATTCAAGGAAGACTTTATATCTTTGACACAGGTCATTTAGTTTTTATACGTTCCATTATATGAAATTACCCCGATTATATTTTAAGATGCTGGTGGGTGGTGGTCGATATTTTCTCTGTGTTTTCTCTGTGTTTTCGAGGAATACTATCAAGTTGAATATCACATTTAACCTCCCGCCCTAAAATAAACCTCCTTATGTTACCCCTTAGGATATCAAGATTGAAATAATTTTAAATACTGAATTTATTTGTACCATTTATGTATTTCACTTTTTCTTCACATTGAACAATGGTGTTTGACTAGTCACTTTCACTGTCTGGTTCTCATATATTAATACAATGCTGCAAGATTTGGTTGCAACCACTGCGGGCGGGGTGTGTGTGTGTGAATCTTTATGATCTAAGGCACTGATTCTGCAAAAGACTTATGCACATGCTTAACTTCATACACTGGGAGTAGTCCCATTGACTTGAATGGGATTGCCTACAGTGTATAAAGTTTAGTATATTATAAGCCTTTTCAGGATTGGGGCCAAAATAGGGAGCATAAACTGCCATTGTCTCTCTGTTTGACTGGTAATAGGGTAGCTGGGATTTGATATAACAGGAAAAGTTGGTGAAACCCTTATGCTCAAGGTTTAAAATTGTATGAGAGCCCACCTCTTGTGCACCTTTATAGGATGGTTATTGCAGAAGTCGAAATTCGTGGATTCTGTGATTTATTTATTTTTATAAAAGTTAATTAATTTTGGTGTTTGAAGGCTTTGCATCATAGTGGCTGGTGAACAGGTATGTGTATGAATGATCAGGTAAACATTTGTCAAACTTTGGCCCTGCTCAGGCAGTGTGCTAGCAGAACATATTACTGGATTAGGGATTTAGGAGAGTTTTTTATGGAAATAATAACCAATATGGAGGTACTGGAACGCAGATTGCACCTGTCTCCATTGAGGGGAATGACAAAACTGTCATTTCAGTGGTTCAGGATCGAGCCCATACCGCCTGATACAAATTTTTTCTTAGATTCACCATTGGGTATTGATTGATGTTTTACTGATGTACAGTTTTCTCATTGACACCCGAGGACGCCAGGCTATATATGAAGAGAGCAGACTTTTGTAGACAATATCTGTTGTCTAGCTCTTGGAAGAGATTGTTTTGCCCTTGAGTTGAACAGAACTGGGTACAAGTAGCAAGGGGTGCCTTGACATTTCAGTTGGGGCTGGAACTTGATATTCAAGAAGTTATCTTTGTTAGAGAATAAGGCTTAAAAAGGGTGGCAGACAATTAGCCCTTCCCTCCGCCCCCCCACCCCGAGACTCATGTGGCATTATACATTTTATCTCTTCTTTTCCGTTGAAGGTGAAAGATGTCTTTCCATTCTGGACGAGGATGCCCACGGGGTCGAGGAGGACCTGGAGTAAGAACGTCAACACAAACCTTCAGACCTCAGAACCTAAGACAGCTTCACCCTCAGCAGCCTTCAGTGCAGTACCAATATGACCAGCAAGTAGCTCCTCCGACTACCTACTCAAGCCCTCCAGCCACAGGCTATGTGCCTCCCAGACCGGATTTTATACCATATCCGTCCCTGGTACCCCCTTCAGCACAGAGTCCAATCAGCCAGTGTCCCATGAGGCCGCCTTTTCCAAACCATCAAGTAAGGCAGAGTTTTCCAGTCCCTCCTTGTTTCCCTCCTGCTCCTCCACCAGTCCCAAATCCCAGTAATTCCCCAGTACCAGGGGCCCCATCTGGACAAAACACTTTTCCCTACATGATGCCGCCTCCTGCAATGCCTCATCCTCCACCACCACCGGTGATGCCGCAGCAAGTTAATTATCAACCTGTCTACTCTACTGGCTATTCGCAGCAGTCTTTCCCACCGCCTAATTTTAATAGTTATCAACATAACTCAAACTCCTTTCAGAGCAGCAATAGCAGCAGTAGCAGTAGCAGTCATTTCCGGCACACAAGCCAATATCAGGTAGAAAAGACCCAAAGTGAACGAAGGTCTCCGGAGAGGAGTAAGCACTACGAGGAGCACCGGCACCGCGATCATAGTCACGTGCATGGAGACAGACACCGGCCCAGTAACCATGGAGATCGGCGGGATCGAGGCAGGAGCCCTGACAGGAGAAGGCAAGAAAGTAGTCGGCACAGGTCAGATTATGACAGAGGAAGGACGCCGCCTCGCCACAGAAGTTATGAACGAAGCAGGTAAATCAGTGATCTGTGAATTTAACGGGGGCTCAAACTGTTGCCTGGAGAGGGAGAATGTTTTGGTTTGGGAATGGCACTTTATTGCAGACGCAGGCAGAGACTACTTCTTAGAGTCACCAATAGCTCTGCCCCAGCACCTGTCTGTCGTGGTATGCTGGGCTCGCACACGCAGGCTCTGATACACTTGGATTTTCTTTAGCTGCTCCAGGTCCTTGTGCAGTTCGTTGTCCTGCCTGTTGACCAGAACCTGGCTGTATTTGCTGGCCTTAATGCCCTTCTGCCTGTTGAGGCATCATTCAGGGATCTTGTACTGTTGAGGTTCTGCATGATGGTGATGACATGCACTTCATCCTCCGTCAGCTCTCCAGATCTCTTGGTCAGGTCAATGTCTGCTTTTCTCTGCACCATGTGGGCACAGTGCTGGCCCACACCCTTGGTGGTGGTGATGGTGGTTTTCCACTGCCCATTGTTGGTGTTGGGCACTCGGTGGATGTGCTGGTATTTCTTGATGATCACTAGAGACATGGTGGCTGGCTACTTCACACTCAGGGAGAGTTCCTGCCAGGAGTAGGGGGTGCTCTGTGTTGATTATTATCAACTTGTGTATAGAGCCAGCATAGGGCTAGGTGCTTTACAGGCTCTTATGAAGAGAAGGTCCATGCCCCAAGAACTTGGAATCTAAGGCTGTGATCCTGCAAAGAGAACTGTGTATGCCAATCCTTGCTTTCACTTAGAGCCGCACTAATATCAATGGGGCTCTGCATGGAGATCCATTGACTTCAGGGGGACTCCTGATGGGCCTAAGGATCTGCCTGTGCGGTTCTGTGCAGGATCAAGACCCAGTTATCCAATATGTAAACTCAGGAAGGGGTGGGACGGGACTCAACATAAGGAGTGTGAATGAACAGAGGTGTTCCAACTTGTGTTGTCATTTTAGTTTGACTTTCACTGAGTGTGTTTGTGTCTGAAGTATGGATTAGATACCTAACTTTAGGCATTTATTTTTAAAAATTTGAGATTTTATCTTAAGAAGTTTAACCCTTCTCTGCAATTGCATAGGCTTCTTGAGAGAAGTGTGTTTTATTGAGAAACCTGGAGAAGGAAAGGCATAAAAAATGGAACAGTCGTTTAAAAAGCTAATGTAACGGATCAGAGAGAGCAAAACGTGATCAACATACAAGCATCATGAAAAGAAAGGGTTATGGAATATTGTGCATGTTGTATGTGACTTAAGTATTCACTGCATAATTCCACAAACTAGATTTCAAATTTAAAAGTTCAGTTTTACTTGAAAAGTAGGTATGTTAAAATGGTAGCTTTTTGCCCATAGATTCATAGATTTTTAAGGCCACTGAAATCTGGTTTCCCTGTGTTTTTTCGTGTCATATCTGTTCACTTTCAATGGCAAAAAAGATGTTCCTGCTTTGATTTGTTTTGATCAAGTGCTCACGAACAAATCAGATGGCACAGGTCTTGCTCTGGAGATCATACACTCTAAACTTAGAACACAATAAGGAAAGATGAAGAAAGGGGGTCCATGTGAAGAAGGGGTAGATAGTATGTGTTAAATTTGTTTGGCTGTGCGTACTTCACAAGGTTACAAGATTTTTGTGTGTGCATGTGTATAAATATATATACCGGTATGTGTATGTATGTTAATAACTTTGATTCAAATTCCTATTATCCCTGCAGAGCCAACCCAGCTATGGTAGCAGACATCTATCTATTTCTTCTTGTGCATCAACATGATTATTTACTAACTTTCAGTCAATTACGTCTGTACAATCTGACTGACAGCAGTGAGTTAACATCTCACTGATGGCCAAATTGGGCCTGCAAGAACTTTTTTCCTGATGGTGATGTGTGAGGAGGAAGGAGCCCAGGTTGAGCTTACGCAGTGGTTCTCAAAGCTGGTCTGCCGCTTGTTCAGGGAAAGCCCCTGGCGGGCCGGGCTGGTTTGTTTACCGGCTGTGTCCGCAGGTTCAGCCGATCGTGGCCCCCACTGGCCGCGGTTCGCCGCTCCAGGCCAATGGGGTCTGCGGGAAGCGGCGCGGGCCGAGGGATGTGCTGGCCGCCCTTCCCACAGCCCCCACTGGCCTGGAGCGGCGAACTGCGGCCAGTGGGAGCCGCAATCGGCCGGACCTGCGGACACAGCAGGTAAACAAACCAGCCTTATTCCCTGAATAAGCGGCGGACCATCTTTGAGAACCACTAGCTTACAGGACTAGCAGTTGAGGGGAAATATATTTTTATTCATAAATGGAGTACATTTGATGTGGAAATCATTGAAAAACAATAAGCCATTGAATCCCATGATTTAAATTTTACAGCTACTTAGCTAATCTTCAACCTTTTGAAGCCCTGAACATTGAAATATAATCTCCAAACTTGCCCTGGGAAGCCTTAAGATCTCTGGTTTCTTCTAAGAATTGCCCCAAGAAATTGTTTTTAAATGTTGTAACAACTGTAGCTTAGATATAGGTTGTATAATGGCATCTACAATGTTGGAATTGTGATAGTAACTGGTTAATGGTTGAGTAGGGTGACCAGATGTCCCGTTTTTAAAAGGACAGTCCTGTTTTTTGGGACTTTTTCTTATATAGGCGCCTATTACCCCCCACCCCCGTCCCGTTTTTTCACAGTTGCTATGGTTGAGGATGGTCTGAGAAGTATCCGTGCAAATTGCATTTCTCAGTGCAACAGAAAACAACTGCAGGAGCTTTCTTCTGGATGTGATTTTTTTTTTATTTCAACTGAATATTTCTTTAAAAAAGCATCTTGGAGAAAACTCTAAAATATTATTTTGTAAGCTGTCATGCAGATACAGTGCTTGTAAAAAGTGCCAGTTTATGCTAGTGAGTGAAGGCCACTAACTACAGAACATCGGGAGTGGTGGTGTTTAGGACTGCTTGTGCCTGTAAATTTACTCATGTATAAGTGTTCACAGGATGTGGGTCATAGTTATGAGTCTGTGGAGACACCTCTTTTTTTATTGGCTATCTTAGTTTATTTTTATGCACTTCTGAGGTGGCTATGAAGGTCAGAGGACTTGTATGAGAAATATATTTGAATTTTTGCTCTGATTCTGAAGTTATTGTGCGTGGAATAGTTTCTTGCTCAGTCTCTAAGTGAAAGAGAATGGTAGCAGGTGGATTAAGCATGCCTTTCATTTATAACAGAAGAATGACAGGCAGAATGGGAGTGACTCTGATGGTGTACTATATCGGCTGTCTATACTGAGTATAAATTAATAGATTATTAAGATAGATGTCTTTATGATGAAAGCAGGGAAGGTGGAGGGGACTGTCTGTCATAAATTTCTTGAGGAATAGACACCACAAGGCTTCCAGGTTTCGTGGAATCTAACTGTTGGAACACACAACTTACAACACTGCTGACAATTGACTTAAAACTGGTTCTGTGCTGTTTCAGGAACAGTATTTACAAAATTCAGGATTTCCTGTTTAACCTGTTTGTTTTAAATTCTTAAAGGGAACGGGAGAGGGAAAGACATAGGCATCGTGATAGCCGAGGATCGCCATCTTCAGAGAGGTCCTACAAAAAAGATTACAAAAGAACCGGGAGGTAAGATGGGATATTTGATCTTGAAAATCTTATCAGGCTGTGCATGTGTACGTGTACATATATCTGCCTCAGGATGGACAAGATTCAGTCCTGGCCTGGTAACAGCTTTCCTTTATATGAAAATGTCATGACTTTAAAGTTTGATATCTTGAGGCCCTACAAAGCTAGAAACAGGAAAATTATACCATTGGACAATGGGCTTCCCTGCTGCACGGTGGGAGCCCCTTAGCACCCACTGCTAGCCTATAAGGTACCCAGATCACAGAATTTAAAATCATGACATTTTTACATGTAGAATAACTGTTTTAGGTCATTTTAGAGGTCTTTATGGCTTTGTCTGAGCTCTATATTGTTGGCCACATGTTAGCTTTATTGGTTTTATAGGTGGAGGGATACAAAAAATAGTCCCAATAATTTTTTGAAAACTTCCTAAAACACTACTAAGAAAGTTTTCAAATATTACACAGAGTGAATTCGGAATATATGAAAATCTGATGTGGTGGAAAAGGGTTCTGTCTATGTGAATAATATCACCATTCCATACTCATGCTGATAAAATTTTGATGCCAGTCTTCTCTTCTTTTAAAAAAACAAAAATGTTTACTTTTTCAGAGTATGGCTGATTTGCTTCAAACCTTTAAAACAAAACTAAACCAAAAAAACCCCTCCAAATCTCATTTGATGTAAAAATAAGCATTTTAGGCTAAAATGAGGGTTCTTTGAGAGTTACAGTGTGGTCAAAAATAGGCCTTAAAATTACAAAGGGCTTTCAGTCTTAACTCTAGAGTTGCTGCTAAGTGACTCCATATACTAGATTTGTACCAAAAGCTAATATTTACTGTTGAAAGTTAACCCCTTAAAATAAGGAAATACCAAGTGAACTCTACTACAAGTCATATGGTAAAATGACCTATTGATTTAGAGTAAACTATTCATTTTGTATTATAACTATATCAATATTAAAAAAACAAAACAACTTGTGATTGCTTTTCTTTCTTTTCTCCTGTTGAAGCCGATCCCCCAGCCGAGAGAGAAAGAGACCTCGATGGGAGGAGGAGAGAGAGAGGTGGTCAGAGAATCAGAGTGCCAGTAAAGAGAAGAGTTATACTGCTATTAAAGATAAAGAGCCAGAGGAGATCATTTCAGAAAAAAATGAAGAGGAAGATGAAGAATTGCTCAAGCCTGTGTGGGTTCGTTGTACCCATTCAGAAAGCTACTATTCAAATGACCCTATGGATCAAGTGGTACGTCTATGAAGATCCCTCAGTTACTATGTACTATCCTTCTATACAATGATTACTACAAGCATTTTAACAGCTTTACATTTTTGTTTTATCCAGTGCTTAATGCTCCCCAATTTTCTTTTCCTTCCAGTTTTCTTTTCATCACTCTAGAGTTATTTGTATTTTGGTAATGTAATCCGCAGATGCAGATATCCACAGACCATGTTTGTGGATAGCGGATGGATGCAGATCCAAATTTTATATCTAGATGCCTACAAATCTGTGGATATCTGTGGACCATGTTTGCGGATCACAGATCGGATGCAGATGCCGCTTTTGTATCCGCACAGGGCTCTACCGATAACGGCAGTGTACAATTGAATGCAGTTCTCTAGCATCAGGGTCAGCTGGTGAAAGGATGCCTTTACATATGTCCTAGTGATTTTATACAAAGTTCCCATGCTACACTGGACCGTTTCTAGAAAATGTTTTTTGTTCTGTTGATTTTTTTTTCATTTGTTCATTCTGGAATGATGAAACCACACCATATTTTAAGACATTAATATTGCAAAGCCTCTGTCACAGAGCAAGTATGCCCTGCCAGGAGAACTGTCCTGGATGCAGGGCAGGATGGCCTAATAGCCAAAGTTGATGGGGCCACCCTTTGGTGCAGGCCAGGGCGGTATGGCCTTGGGGCTGAAGTCAATAGGACTGCTTATCTAAGTGGGGCAGTATGGCCTGGTGGCCAGGCAGGGGGTGGCTCACCATCCAGGGGTGGGTTGGAGGCCAGGGTAGGGAGACCCAGGCTCTCCCTATTCCACCAGCCCAGAGCCCTATCAGCGGCAAGTGTATCCGCCACTGAGTCAGCGGGGATCCCTTCAAAACACACCTACTCTGTTCCTGGTTCCACAATCGGATCAATGTCTAGTTCCCCTGGGCTACTTCCTACCCTGTCTTCCTGTGCTGTAGTCCACAGGTACTCTGGCTCTCTAGGGTCATTGGCCGGCGAAGTTCCTGACGACTCCTTTCCCTAGTGGGCTTCCGTGGGTAGCGAGCTATTTGCCTGGGTCTCAGTGTGTCTGGCCTCTGCAGTCTGGGGCTCTGGTAGATCCTGAACGGGAGCCCGCAACACACATTCTCTACTCCTGGGGGAATTCTGCGCCACTATGCGTGCACAGAATTTATGTCCCCTGCAGATTTCTTTGCTTCCTCACAGAAAAATGACTTTCTGATGGGGAAGCAAAGGGAAGTCACAACAGTGGTCATGCAACCCTCCCCAGCAGTATGTTTCGGGGGCCCAGGACAGCCGGCAGAGAGGTAAATCACTGTGGGGCAGGCGGCGGGACTGGGGAAAACCTGGCTGGTGGCTCCTACTGTGCGCCAGGCTCAGCTGCTACTCCCGGCTGCAGAAAGCTCTGCAAACTCCCACCTCTGTGCAGCCAGTGGCCTGTGCTCCCCAATGCCATGCTGGAGCCTCCACATTTATTTGACAAATCCAATTTGCAGAATTTTAATTTTTTTGGTGCATAATTTTTAATTTTTTTGGCGCAGAATGCCCTCAGGAGTAGTCCTCAGTGGTCAGCCCAGACTGAGCTGGACTGCTCACTATTATACTGTAGTCCCAGTTGGGGCGAAGGGGCATGGCTTCCACAGCCCACAGTATGGGGTTAACCCTGTCCTGTCCAGTGCGGGGCAGTTATACCCCATCACAGCCTCCTTTAATTTTCTGTTTGTTTTGTTTTTGGTTTGTTGTCATTATCAGGGGGACTCCACGGTGGTTGGAACAAGTCGGCTCCGAGATTTGTATGAAAGGTTTGAGGAGGAGTTAGGAAAGCGACAAGAAAAAGCCAAAGCAGCCCGGCCACCATGGGAGCCACCAAAGACCAAACTCGATGAGGATTTAGGTAAATGCCACGTTGGCGAAGACCTGAAACCGAGTAATGAACAGTGACTACATTCTTTATATCAGTTTGTGTGTTCTTTTGTGTGAATATATGCTGGGTGGTGTTTTCAAAAGCGCTCAGCATCAGCCTAACTGTCCTCCCATTGAAATCATTGGAGTCTTACCATTGCCTTCGGTGGGAGTGGAATTAGGTCAGCACTGAGTGCTTTTGAAAACCGCACCCTTTGTGTATTAGGCATTATCTTTAAAGTGTCAAATTGCAGGCTGTTGTGGCAGCTGAAAATAAGATTATTGCTAAAGTACAATTGAAAGATGATTGAAGAAGTGGCATATACATTTTAAACATATTCTGTTTTACTGTGGCTCTCTATTTAACATGAAGTAAAAAACTTGCTAATTAGCACATTGTTAATCTGCATGAAATATTGTTGGTCACTCCCCAGCTCAGGGCAAAGATTTAATAGAGGAATGCTATAATAAGTCTCATAATGCTCAGAAGTGAATTATTTTTGTAAAACACGTTTGCTCTTTGTCTGTCTAGCACCCAAAAACATGTTAAGCAAGTCACAAATCAAATGAGACCTGATCTCTGCCCTGAAGAACTCACAGTCTAATTTTAGGAAAGATACAATGTGATGGTCTCTCAAATAGGTAGAAAGGGAAGACAAGGGGAACAGTCATAAATTCACATGGTGTCTAAGGCTGGTTATGATCCTGATTCTGCATGGTGAGAGTTGCTGCACTCCCATTGTGGATCAGAGTCTCACTGCACATCTTGATGGTTTCATTATGTTCAGAAGTACTGGGTTTCGAAATACATTTTAACTTGCATAGTGATGGTTCGTAGGCTGAGAATTTTGTACTGCAGTATATTTGCTAAAATATTAAATGTCATAACTAGAACTTAAATGATAAACGGTAAAGATAAATGAGCCCAAGTACTATATGTACTTGTGGTGTTATCCTTTTTGCATTTATTTACTAGGGACCTTGTCCTCCTCCCCTGGCAGTTTTTGCATTTACTTCAGTGGGAGTATTGTTGGGCCCTTGCTTATTATTTATTAAACTTCAGTGATTCACAATGTCTCACTCAGTCCTTGGTGTTAGTTAGTGACATTCACCTGTATATCAAGGTAGCTTGAGGTTAAATTTTTTTATTCAAGTTTTACATCTATGATGGGTAAACAACTGAGCTGCTCAAAACTGAGCCTAGTCATGTATGTATCTTTATTTTTTCATGTTATTTTGCCATAAATATAGCATAATACAATCAGAGATATTAGCAAAGTAAAATGACATCCCAGGGAGACACAGAAATAGATATGGATTTTTAATTAAAAAAAATGTATTAACTATTCTAAACATAGAATGTAAATGTACTTTTTGGTCTGTGCTGTATATACAGGGTAAAATTCACCCAACAGTGGAGGGCCCATTGAAAAGCCTGCACATCTTTTAGCCCCTGCGGGAGAATAGTTTCATACCGAGGTGTCTGCCTTTCCTGGGCACCATAGATGGTGCTGTTGGCAGTGAGGAGGGGGACAGGCTACTAAATTCATCCTACTTGTATGCAGTCAGTTGGCTAGCGGGCACAGAAAGGCTCTTACCACTGTTCCAGTCTGCAGCCTGAATAAGTTAGCCTTGCAGCCATCGGGGCTGTATGTTTGCACTCTCTTGTGGTGTCAGCATGAGCCTTTCCCACAGCCTGATTCAAATGTAGGCTTGGCAGAAATCAGTTTTTATTCTTTTACTACTTTGATGGCTCATATCAATGTTTGTTTTTAAGCATTTTTTGAAATTGTATCTATTTAATTTTTTCACACTTGCGCAAAAGTATGGGTTTTAAGCATTTATTTTTATTTTTAGTGATTTTAAATTTTTACAGTTGTGGAAAATAATGGGAGGGGTCAGATAATGATTTAATGACTGTAGATGTTGAGATTCAAAATGTTAAAGCTTTCTAGCAATCAAAGCACAAATTGTCAATGTCACATGTCAAAATATACAAAGTAAATTTGCCTTAAATCAAACTCTGATAAGTTCTCATGCAGCATTTTTCTTCCCTTGCCTATTGGTAAATTTTGATTATTATAAATAGATTTCTTTTTTGTCGATTTGTATGTGCATGCTGAAATCAATATTTACCAACATTTATAGATAAAATCTAATCCTTTAAAGCTTACTTATATGGAGTTTGGCAGGAGGTGTTAAATTTCCACTACAGAAAACGGCTCCCTTCTGCTTCGGTTACTGCATATAATGTCATTTGGAGCAGGATACATCTCCTTCAGAGAACCAGAGCAAGAAGAAGGAAAAAATAAGAGTCCTGTAATAGTCCTAGAAATACTGGGATTTCAGAGGAGTTAAGTTTAGCTCTCCCTTCAGGCAGGGTTTTTTTTGTTTTTGTTTTTTTAAGTGACTAAGGAAATTTCTGATAAACCCCTAAACCATCACCAGCTTATGAAAAGCTAATCCCGCTCCATGAAATGCTAGAGCTCTCCATGGACATCTTGAATTCTGAACCATTGTGTGGCCTTCAGTTCTCCAATTTAACCTTACAGGTCCGGGAACACTGCTTTTTTGCATACACCCTTTTCGGAATGGGGAAAAAAAGAAATTGGTTAATGGTTATCTACAACAAAATTAAATAATCTTGGTTACGAGCACAAATATATGCAATGCTATTACCATAACTCATGAGAACCTGAAACAACTTGAAAAGAAACAAGCTCTGTTTAGCTGATCATCGTTATGCATGGTCATGAATATAGATGCAATGTACATGTTTTCAGTCTCTTTTTTTTTTTTTTTTTTTTTTTTTTTTAAGATTTTACTTGTGTGGATTATAAATTCATAGTCCTCTTCCTTGCAGCCCTTTAGCTTCAAACAACTGTGATTGGGAGCATAGAAATTGCTCTTCTGAATTTACCAAGTTGACCAAGAGAGCATAGAATTGCTCTCTTGGCAACTGGTCAGATTATTCCACTCGTGTGTGCAAACAAATTCAGTTAATGCAACTTTCAATAACCTTAGTATTTACTGTCACTCTTTAAATTAAAACTTAATTGCTGTCCTAGGATTCATAAGAGCCACTCTGAATGTTATGTTTCAGCGTGGTAGCCGTGTTAGTCTGTATCAGCAAAAAGAACGAGGAGTCCTTGTGGCACCTTAGAGACCAACAAATTTATTTGAGTATAAGCTTTTGTGGGCTAAAGCCCACTTCATCCACTGCATGCATCTGATGAAGTGGGCTTTTGCCCACGAAAGCTTATACTCAAATAAATTTGTTAGTCTCTAAGGTGCCACAAGTACTCCTTGTTCTTTTTTCTGAATGCTATATAAGTCTTCAATAATTTGCAGATCTATATGATGCTTGCTTGGATATTAGAAAATTCCTTGCTGTTTTGGAAAAGAATGAATGAGGGTTCTTTTCAACTAACCTTATTTTTACTTTTGAACCAGAGAGTTCCAGTGAGTCCGACTGTGACTCGGATGACAATAGCAGCTGTTCTAGCAGTTCAGATTCTGAAGTGTTTGACGTTATTGCGGAAATTAAGCGTAAAAAAGCTCACCCTGATCGTCTTCATGAGGAGCTCTGGTACAATGACCCCGGACAGGTATTGTGTACAAAACATTCACTGTGTATTTAAAAGGTTTGTTCTGGGAGCCATACAAATCTACAGATCAGATTTGTTACAGAATATACTAGATGACACCTGTTGTCTCCTGTCCAAATTGAATTTTTTTCATCCTTTCTAGATTATATTTTATTGTTATTCAGTGCACATTACTTTCAATCTCAGGAGTTCAATTAAAACCCTTGAACCCTAGAGATTCTTCACCCTGTATCATATTTGACTGTATTTGTAAACTCTGCATTACCAGCAATGTAATAGTGCTGTTCTGTTAGCCTAGCAATAGAGGCACAAAGATAAATGCTGGGATGAGGGAGAGAGAGCTTGTAGATCTGCTTTACAAATGGTTCACCTAAAAGCTCTTACTGTATTATGATAAATAATGCCTTAAATATGCTGTTAATGCTCCTAAGTTCTTGCCTAATGGTTCTGCTATAATTGCATGCAGATTATAGTCCTAGTTAAATGTAATTGGTGAACTCATGAAATGTTGTTTGAATATATATGTTACATAGAGATCAGGCGGTTCTTTGCAAATTTGCCATCTCCATCTTTCTTTTTTAACTCTTTTATGGTTCCTTCTAACTCTTTGTCAAGTGGCACCCCCAGTAAACTTGTTTTTCCTGCCTTTTATTTGAGGCATGAAACTAGAAGGCCACAAATTATAATGGCAGAAGATACTGCAATGCACGTTGCTGCCGTAATAATTCAAAGGTCTGTCGACACTTCCATTATAAGCTCTCATTTATGCTCCTAGGGTTAAAAAAAAAACAAAAAAACACAACCCAAAATTATAAAACTGTTGAGATATTTAACTGTGAAAATTATGTTGTATGAGTTTTGTTTGAAAAGCCTTGTTTTTCAAACAAATATAATAGAATCCTCAGTATAAAATGTTTGCCAAATAGAGAGAGGTGAAGAGCCATGAAGTGAACAGTATCAGAAATGCATGGTTATTTCCATGAATTTACCTTGAGTTACTACTTCTTCCTAAGGGACATCTGAAAAAAGTTCCAAAAAAGTCATCATGGCCTTGCCAATGACATACTTTTTATATCTGAGTTATGTTCAGTACAGAACAATTTTATTTTGAATAGTGTGCTTTCCCATAATTTTGGTCAGTATTCTGATGCAAAAGTGATAGGCTTATAAATGCCTTGGGTAGATATCCCAAAATGCTTTACAGACCCGCACTCCCACAAAACAGGAATGAACGTCAAGCATGTCTTGCAAAAAAAACCCCAAACCAAGCCAAACAAAAAAGCCTGACAGCCTAATTTTTGTGTAAACCACTCTCCCTTCTTGCCTGTCATCTATCCCTAATTTATGTCATGTTGTATCTAACATACATTGCAAGCACCTTTGGGCCTTACTGGTGACCTAGCTTCTGTGTAAATCCCCATGCATACACCTAAGGTGTTATATTCAAATACTATTTAATAATAAGAGTAAATGCCAAGATTTTCAAAAGTGGCTAGTGATTTTGAGACACCTTGGAGGGCCCTGATTTTCATGAAGTGTTGAACTAATTGAGTGTTTATTGTATTATGTATCTCTCTTGTCTCTGATATGTAAGATATACAGGCAAGTGAGAAAATGTGCTTTCAGCTTAGACTTGACATGAGAATATTTTGCTAATGTTTATTTAGCACACTTGTTCTTGAAGGATTCCAAAGTATGTGTCAAACTGTATAAGAGCAAAATACCACATCACTCTGATATTAAGGATGCACAGTTAAACACCCAAAGGTGAGGAAATGCGCACTACATCTTAAGCCCCCTTGCATTTATTTTGTTATGACAAAATCTATGAGGAAAACGATGTCAGCCAAACAGTCAATAGATTAATCTTAAAACTGGGCTGCCTTTTTTTCCCCCCCAGGCCATATGGAGTCCATTCCCACTGTTCATTGTTGGCTCCCTGTCACTGAGACACCCTAGCCTTCTCTCTGTTGGCTGAGGATGTCCCCCCCACCACGGAGCTCTGTTGGGACCTGCAGACTGCTTCTAAAGGTAAGGGGAGTCCCATGGTGGGTTTTTATACACAATTGCAGTTTTTTGAAGTTTTTAAAATATATTTATACCTTACATGGTATAAAATATAATAATTAAAACTTTACAAAACTGTAAAGGGGTGGAAAAAAAGGGGGACTTAATTTACTTCTGTAGGTTGGCTCCGGTCTCTACCGGGGTTCTGTGGTGGGTGTGACGTCACAGCCAGAAAGCATGCTAGGGTGTTGCACTAACTGGAACTGCCAGTCTGCAGTGGGCCCAGACTTCACAGGGCTTGGAGGTAAAAAGAAGGTAAGTTTCAATTTTATATTGTATGTAATGCCCCTCTTGACAAAGTTATTTGGTATATTCATCCCATAATTCAGAAATGGCCATATTTAAAAAAAAAAATCTATGTTCAGGCGACTTTTGAAGTACTCCAGTTATATCTCTAAAGTACCAAATAAGACCCCAAACCTACAAACTTTTACACTTGCTTAATTATGCATACATAGGGTGAAATCCTGGCCTCATTGTAGTCAAATTCCATAGAACCATTATTTCGCCAACTAAATTCAGTAGAACTACTTGTGTATAAAATAAAGCCCATGAATATATAAGGTGCAGGGTTATTGGCTGCACGTAGCAGATTGTTCTAATAAATAAGAAATGGAGAGGCTATACCTTACATGTGATACTGCAGTGGTGTCATTCTGCTAACGTTGTTGTCCCTTCTTACACTGCACAAAAAACAATGACAGTCTAATGCTGTTGTGCAGTTTCCTTATATCAGTCTGTACAAACAGTTTGCCTCTTAAGTGGATGTTCTAAAACCAATAAATCTTGTAAGTATGACAGGTTCTTTGAAGCATCAGCATTCATGATGTTAAAACCAAAACGCTTTTCCAGACATCGTCTCTTGTCTTTTTTCAATAAAAACAGAATCCTATTTTGTTTTTGACAGATGAATGATGGACCACTGTGCAAATGCAGTGCTAAAGCCAGACGAACAGGAATAAGACACAGCATTTATCCTGGTGAAGAGGTAACGAGTTTTGAATATTGCACTTATAAATGCCATATTGTCAGCAGTAGGCAGGTCCTTGTTTTGCTCTTACATAAATTGGAGGAAGATATTGTTTTAGAGTAAACTATGGTGTCATATTAAATCAGTCAGATTTCTTACCGGTTGGGTAATTTCACATTTAGGATGTGCTACCTGTAATGAAACTCCACATGAAAACTAGGGAAAATAGTTGCACTAGCCAATTTCTTTTTAAAGTTTCTGAAACACGCAGCTAAATTAATAACAAAAAAGCATGAACTACCATATCATGGAGATGCACAAGTTATGTTTCTGCTGAGTCTTCCCTATAGAGGAGGTGTGTAAAGGGAAAGTGAATAAATTAGTAACTTTCATGCTGATAGTAGCAAGACATGCAATTGCCTCAACATGGAAACATGTCTCCACTAGAAACTGCTAGATGATTTGTTAAGTTTTGACCCTTTTTTGATTGGAATAAAATTACACAAAAATGCTACTTTTCTTATGATATAGCAACCTTCCTGTGGAAAAAAATATTGCTGAAGTCTCACTATTTTTATCTGTAGAGGTAACCCACACATCATGGTTGTATTTTTTTGTTTTCCCTTAAAATACAAAGAGCGTTAGAGTACATCAGTTTTAATAGAAAACTTTTTGTTTCATGAGAACGTTAAGAACATTAGAATGGCCATACTGGGTCAGAAGAAAGGTCCATCTAGCCCAGTATCCTGTCTTCCGACAGTGGCCAATGCCATTTGCCCCAGAGGGAATGAACAGGACAGGTAATCATCAAGTGATCCATTCCAAACTTCTAGGAAACAGAGGCTAGGGACACCATCCCTGCCCATCCTGGCTAATAGCCATGAACTTATCTAGATATTTTTTGAACGCTGTTATAGTCTTGGCCTTCACAACATCCTCAGACAAAGAGTCCCACAGACTGACTCTGTGCGTTGTGTGGAAAAAATACTTCCTTTTGTTTGTTTTAAACCTGCTGCCTGTTAATTTAATTTGGTGACCCCTAGTTCTTGTGTTACGAGAAGGAGTAAATAACTCCTCCTTATTTACTTTATCCACACCAGTCATGATTTTATAGACATCAATCATATCCCCCCTTAGTCGTCTCTTTTCCAAGCTGAAAATTCCTAGTCTTATTAATCTCTCCTCATACAGAAGCCGTTCCATACCCCTAATCATTTATTCCATGGATTTATATAGAGGCAATATGATATTTTCTGTCTTATTATCCATCCCTTTTTTAATGATTCCCAACATTCTGTTCGCTTTTTTGACTGCCGCTGCACATTGAGTGGATGTTTTCAGAGAACTATCCACAATGACTCCAAGATCTCTCTCTTGAGTGGTAACAGCTAATTTAGACCCCATCATTATATATGTATAGTTGGGATTATGTTTTCCAATGTGCATTACTTTGCATTTATCAACATTGAATTTCATCTGCCATTTTGTTGCCCAGTCACCCAGTTTTGAGAGATCCTTTTGGAGCTCTTCGCAGTCTGCCTGGGCCTTAACTATCTTGAGTAGTTTTGTATCATCTGCAATTTTTGCCACCTCACTGTTTATCCCTTTTTCCAGATCATTTATGAATATGTTGAATAGAACTAGTCCCAGTACAGACCCCTGAGGGACACCACTATTTACCTCTCTGCATTCTGAAAACGGACCATTTATTCCTACCCTTTGTTTCCCATCTTTTAACCAGTTACCGATTCATGAGAGGATCTTCCCTCTTATCCCATGACAGTTTACTTTACTTAATAGCCTTTGGTGAGGGACCTTGTCAAAGCCTTTCTGAATATCTAAGTACACTATATCCACTGGATCCCTCTTTGTCCACATGCTTGTTGACCCCCTCAAAGAATTCTAGTAGATTGGTGAGGCATGATTTCCCTTTACAAAAACCATGTTAACTTTTCCCCAAGAAATTACATTCCAGAATTTGTTGTTGTTTTTTTAATCCTACATTCTTGATTTAAAATGTATGTGTATTGTTCAGCCCCTATTTTATAAACGAATTGGTGATTGAAGAATTCATAAAATTGACCATCTTAAAATTATAGTATAGGTATAGTGCTAATTTTCAGCACGGTGCACTGCATGGCTTTGTTCTTATCCTACAATGGTTTGTATAACTGATCATTCATGAAATTGGTCATTCATGAGGTTCTACTGTTTTATTATCATTTTCTCTGTGTGTGACTTTCCAAATAAAATCAAACAAAATAATTTTTTGCCATTTTTTTGTCTCCCTTCCCCCCCCCCCCCCTTTTTTTTTTTAAACTGCAGCTGCTCCCTCTGCTTTGTTGCATTTCAGGATTCATGAACATTTCTGTTTCATGGATTTATTACCCTGTCTCAGAAAATTACTCCAGACTGAAGCTTGTAATAAACTACTTCAGACATAGATTAATTTCCCTCATCCCCTCACACCACGTCAATTTTGTTGAAGGAGAAACATTTTTAGTAGGTGAAAATTTTGAAATCTGACTGACTCACTGTGAGGAGGTAGCTGCCCCTAAAGATGAGGATGCTGGGAATTTTGGAGGCTCATAAAAGCCCATTATAGATTCTCTTAACCTGGTGTGAGCCTCAGAGCACTGAGAACCTAGCAGAAAACAGATCCTACAAGGGCTTCCTTTAATCTAGTTGCTGGTGAGTATTTTTACTCATTAAACCTGAGAGCTTCAGAAGAACCTGAAAATATGAGACTTGGGAGCCTTATATTCCACTGAACGACATGCAGACCTTCCTACATTTAGACATAGCCATTCATGTATTTTTCATAGGAAGACTGTGTGGTCTGCTAGTTAAAGCAGGACACTGGCAGACTTGGGTTCTTTGTCCGTTTCTGATGCTGATTTACTGTGTGATGCTGGACTAGTCTGATTGATGCCTCAATTTGACCACCTGTCAAGTGAGATACCTGCTTACCTTTGTAGTGAATTGAGATTGTCCAATGAAAAATCTACGTATAATCTTTATAATTTTTTTTATTAATTGCCTAAAATGAAATTATATAAAAAAGAAAAAGAAAAGCACCTGAACACTTAGATGACTGGCTTCTGTATGCAAGAGAGGTGCATAACAATATGGAGAATGTATGAACTGCACTTACATTTTGCCCAGAATAATATCCCTGTATATGTTTCTGAAGTTAAATAAAAAAATGTATTATGCTATGACTTCCCTCCTCCTCCAAGAATACTTAATTATGACTACCTGTTTTGTTTAATTTTTTTCTAGTGAACATTTCATGGATGTTAAAAGTGTTTTATTCCCTCATTTTATTTAAATTAACCTTGACTCTGCACATAATTCTATGAATCTTTCTCTTAAAGCCTATTAAGCCATGTCGCCCCATGACCAACAATGCTGGAAGACTGTACCACTATCGAATTACAGTGTCACCTCCCACAAACTTCTTAGTAAGTACTTTATAAACAATTCCATCCAAGAGTCCAGTTCAATTTATTTTAACGTTGACATGTGTCGTGCCACGGCTATCTTAACTTTAACTTGTTTTGTTTTTGTTTTAGACAGACAGGCCAACTGTTATAGAATATGATGACCATGAGTATATCTTTGAAGGGTTTTCTATGTTTGCACATGCCCCTCTGACAAATGTAAGTATATTCATTTTATGCATAGTGCTTTTCTAGAAGGCAGGCTATTTCTGTCCTTTTAAATAGCACTTGTATAAATCAGTGGTACATGTGCTTTGAGAGGCTTCTTGTCAATTTCACTTGAAAATGGGAGGGTGACATTTGTGCTAATGAGACTCAGGTTTTGTCCTGACTAATTGGGGTAAGTATTCCTTTAATACTGTGATTGAGGCTGTAGTGTGCAACAGAATAATATTTTTGCCTGTGTCAAGGTTTGGGAATGAGATAAACTGTGGATAACTTGTTAAAACTGTTAATTGGATTTAAATTGGATGAACTTTTTGAGTTGACAAAGTTAATAGAAAAGGAAAACCAATAATTTTAACTGATAACATGGGAACGGATTAGTTCAGATCACCTAGTTTTAAAAACCTTGACTTCAGTAGAAGTTTACTAAAAATTTCCTATAGTTTCCAACACCAGTTCAGCTCCCCATCAAATTATTAGTAAAATGATGCATTTTATGGTTTGGGGCTATTTAAAATCAGGTATTTTGCAGCTTCAATGGAATCCTACTCTACATCAATAATTGCCCCTGGAATCCCATCATCCTTTTGTTTCTCAAATTCTAAGTACTTTCATCTGATAGTTATAGAGTTTAAGGCCAGAAGGGGCCACCAGAACATCTAGTCTGACCTCATGCATATGACAGGCTACCACCTACACACTAAACCCAACAACCAAAATTATGCCCAAGTATTACAGCCCTCAGGAGACTAGACTATTATGTGCCACAGGCAGGGAATAGGAGGGACCAACATGCACCAATGCCCAAGCCCCCACAATTGCTGAGAAGTGATTAAGTGAGATATACCCAGATGATCCCAGCAAGTGACCCAGCTCCCACAACTGAGCAAAAGGGGAAATAAACCGAAGGTCACTGCCATTCTGATCTGAGTAGAAGTATAGAAACACTTACAAGGAACTGTATGTTTACAAGAATTAATCAAAGGGATACTGTCAACTTAAAAATCATTCCTCTGCTTACAAATTTTATACCTACTATTGTTACAAGAAACATCTATTCTCTCCCCCCCAGAACCTGCATGGTTCTCAATGAGAGATTGGGCCCCAAGGTTATTCTAATTGAACGGGATTGAGAAGAATATGTCTTCCTTTTTTCAGTCTGCTCACTTGGTGCTTTTGACAGCTCTCTGTGTGTGATCAGTTTCACTGTTTCCTCTCTCTAGTCAGCTTGTTGGTTGTTTTTCCCTGTTGTTTCACACAGGAACATTGGCGAGAGAACCACTTTAAAAAGTAGGAAAATGTGATTGTAAAACAAGTATCATGGAGACTAGAACACAGCTATAGTGTAGTAGGAAACACATTTTAACTGATTATTTAAAAAAAATTTTTTTTAATGTGACTAGATTTCAAGTTTTTAATTTAGTCACAACTTGAATTTGTTTGGTCTCATTACACAAATAAAGGAACATGTTTACACTGCAGAGTCGCACATGAAATAACGGGATATGCCAAATCTGATTAAGGAACAGTGTCTAGCTGACGAGACAAGTGATGGTGCCTGTGAAAAGAGACCCCACTGTTCGTTGACAAAAGTAAATGTGATTGGGGTTTCAGCATTCTCTAAAACCTTTTGCTGTGATGGTTCTCTTAGCTCTGGTCTACATTACAAACTTATGTCGGTGTAACTACGTCCACACCCCTGAGCGACTCAGGGCATGTCTGCACTACAAAATTAAGTCTACCTAACTTACATTGCTTATGTGTGTCTACACTTTGCTCCTTGTGTCAGCAGTGTGCATCCTCACCAGGAACGCTTGCACCAATTGAACTGTCAGTGTGGGGCATTGTGGGATGGCTTCTGAAAGCCTGCAACAGTTGATGTAAGAAATGTAGTGTCTACACTGACACTGCGTCAGCCTAACTACATTGACCTGAACTGTATACCTCTCATGGAGGTGGAGTTAATAAGTCAGTGTAGCGGGCGAGTTACATCAGTGGGGGCGAAGTTTTAGTGTAGACATTTACAGAGTTAGGTCTACATAAGCTGCCTTGCATCAACCTATCTCTGTAGTGTAGACCAGGGCACAGTTATACCAACCTAATCCCTGGTTTAGACAGTGCTGTGTGTTGACGAGAGGGCTTCTCCTGTTGACATTGCTACTGCCCTCAGAGAAGTGGAGTACCTGTGCCAATGGGAGAAGCTCTCCTGTTGGTGTAGATAGTGTCTTTACTAAGCGCTACAGCGACGCAGCTGCGCCACTGCAGCACTGTAAGTGTAGACAAGCCCTTAGTGTTCAAAGGCAATTTGTCAGATAGGTTTTGTCACCCAGTCCCTCCATTTTCACTTTGGGGGACATAGAGCAGAAAGAAGCACTTAAGCTTTTTCATTTGGGAAGATACTATACTAAGGATAAAGGAACCACCTTTTCTTTAGAATACAAATTCACTCTAAGTCAAGCATGACTTGGAGAATTACAGACAAAATGTGTTACAGAAAATTCTTCCTCCAGAGGCAAAGAGAATTCACACTGCCCTGTATGAGCTGATACCTGAAGATATTCAACCTACTTCTAGTGTGGAACTTGTGTGTTTTAGACACAAAACTACTGGAGCCTCGTTTGCAGTTTTCTTCCTGTACGTTTTTTGCTAACTATGTGAAAATGGTCAGCAGCAAGTGATAATTCTAACAGATTCGTCTTTATTGCAGACATATGGTCATAAAGCAACACCATACAGTCTTTTCTGATATCAACAGGATACTAGATAGGCAAGGCCTTCACAAGGAGAATGCTCTTGCTGCACTGTAAGGCTTTTGACAGCAATTATGGGGGAATTGCCGTTTCAGAGGCATTTCAGGATATGCTTGATAAATAGCAGATGGCTAAGTGTAGCATCCACATGGTTCTTTGCAAGAATGGAGATAATATAACAAAATATTTTAATGAGACAAATTTGTATAGCTGAGGAGGCTTCACTTGCACCCTGCAGCTCTGTAACAAAGCTGCGTTATTAGCCAAGCTGGACAAATATTAGATAAAATGATATGTCAAATCATAGATGTTCAATGAATAATGCATCATTTGTGTGAAGTTTTTCAACCAGCTTTATAACAGCATTATTCTTTTAATACATTATTCAACAAATAGCATTCTTCCAGCTTTTTTAAGTGCAGCTGTGCATGGGAAACTTGTTCCTAGTTATTTGGAAGTTGGTCACCTGTTTTAAGAATTCCTTTTCTGCTCTCTTTATTCTGCACAGAAGACAAATGGAAATAGTCCTGGCTGCTAAGAAGCTGATCCAGAAACTCCTGACTTGGTCATCTTTAGACATCTGTTGGAAAATAGGCTCACAATATTTTAAAGCAATGTTGAAATAAATGTGACTGCTTATTTTCCCCCCAAACATTGAGTAACATATCTTAATATCTAGATTCTTAATTTCTATTAAAAGGTATCCAGTATCAAATACATTTGAATTAAGAGGATTTGTCATATTCTTAATTTTGTATAGGTAATCTGTAGGGGTTTTTGTTTCTGAATAAACAAGTTCATAACGGGGGAACATCTACAAAGATGGTTACATCTGGAATCTTCCTAGCAACAACTATACTTAGTAGATATAGCCTAAAGATTAACATTAGTGAGAGATGTGTATTTTTGCGGGGGAGGAAGGGAGCGTAAGCCCAGGGCCATGGTGCTGCAAGCAGATGCATGCCGACAGGAACTTGTACCTGTGAATTGAATTCAGCATGCCTCTTTGCAGGAACAGAGATCCATTGCAGGATTGGGGCTTTAAACTTCTTCAGTTTCATGAATCATTGATCATTATGAGGTGGTCTCTTATATTTGCAGGGACAGTGAAAGCTTCAGCCATGTTGGCTTAAAAATGGCAAGAATTTAAGTTCTCTCATGTCTCACTGGAACAGGGGTTCTCAAACTGGGGGTCTGGACCCTTCAAGGGGTCACAAGGTTATTACATGGGGCGGGGTCGCAAGCTGTCAGCCTCCACCCCAAACCCCGCTTTGCCTCCAGCATTTATAATGGTGTTAAATATATTAAAAAGTGGTTTTAATTTATAAGGGGGGGGTGTTGCACACAGAGCTTGCTGTGTGAAAAGGGTCACCAGTACAAACATTTGAGAACCACTGCACTAGAAAGACATGCAATTGTGTGAGTACTGGATTGCCTGCTTGCTTTTTGCACCAAAACCTTCAGAATCCAAACTGTAAAGCTAAATTTTAAGATCAGTGGAAATGGCACTACTAATGATTGAAAGTGTAATTTAAATATTCTTTTAATATTTCAATGCTACACTTGAGTGGAGTCTTAGCAGTGAGTGTTACAAACCTAAAAAGAAATTGTCAAAGTATTTTTCACAATTGAAGTTAAAACTGGCTGTTCAAAAGCCCCTTGAAAGCACAAAACTGCAATCCTGTCCATTCTCCCTCTGCCCCCCCCCCCCATTTTGTATTATACAGGAGTCCTAGTTTGTTATACAATTCTTGTGATTACTGGGGTGTGATAGAGTTCTTTTTTTAATGAGGGGAAGGAAAAGAAACCTTTAAAGGGATGCCATCGTCTTGAAGACTATGTTTCCATATGGAAATTCCTCTCAACACTCTCCTCTCCCCCCAAAAAAATCTCTGCCTATAACTGATGGAGATTACAGAAAAAAATATTTTTCTCTCTTTTCAGTGTGTTTACTTCATGTGTTTGACAGCACTTTGTATACAGTCAGCTGCATTTCCTGTCTTATGTGCTAACATTATGACATGTGTCTCATGCCCTGATCTGAGAGAGCTAGTGTATTTACTAGTAACAACTGCAGTAAAGCTGAAACTGAAGAGGCTGCAGACAAAAATGAAGGTGAAGGAGAAATGGAGAGTTTGGCCCAAGCATGTGTGGTAGTTATCTTGAGCCTGCCCACTCTCCTTTTCTGTAAAGACCCTCATCATAATAAGCAGTAGCAGCAGCAGAATAGAAAAAGTTCTGTAATATTTTGACAAGGAGATTGGAAAAATATTTGCATGGGGTATTCTAGCAAATTACAATTTTTTGAAATTGGTCAATTAAAAAAAAAATCAGGTTGACATTGTCCCTCTAAAAGAAGCAGGGTGGTGGGGGGCAGTCTATGGATTTTGCAAGCTTATGTACTAAAAATGATTAAATATTTGGCTTACCAGACGGTATAGTTCCCTCTTATATGTGTTTTTTTAGCTCTATTTCGTGTAAACCTATAAATCTGTACTGCAAGTCCCTGTGTCATGCTCCCATTATATAAAGACGAGTTAAAACAATATGGCTAATAGAATTAGTAGTGGGCTAAAAACACTTTGCCTCTAGGTTGCTAGACCAGTCTGGCACCCTCTACCATGCACAATAAATTCATCTACAAGTATAACATTTTCAAAATGGGAGAAGAGAGATCTGTTAGTTTACTGAATTTTGCTTTTGCTGAACAAAACATAATCTCCAGTAGATGGCATTGTTTGACCAATGATTCCTGTCAGTCCTATGTTATTTCTCAAGTGGAGTTATTATAGTCATCTATTTCTCTCTCTCCCTCCTGCCCCAAACTTTATGTGAACTCACTGAGGCAACAGTTTTACTAAGTGCCCTTTTCATCAGATGGAAATTCTTAGGAAACATAATTGTATGAGTGATGCAGTCAGCGCCATATGTCCTTTCAAACTGAACCTCTGTTCTGTTTTCCTTCCAGATTCCTCTCTGTAAAGTAATCAGATTTAACATTGACTATACAATTCATTTCATTGAAGAGATGATGCCTGAGGTAAGGGCGATAATTAGTCAAGAGATCAGTTTAGGTTATGAATTGTTGATATGTTTAAAGGATTAACTCTGTAGCATTTAGCCTCATGCACTCTCTGAATGTACAGCTGAATGGAAACCTATGATTTCTACATAAAGCTTTAAGCATATATCTAGAACACTATATATTGAAAATAAAATTAAGAATACTCAGCTTTATCCATACCTCTTTGAACTTTTCAAAGATCTGTACAAATATATTTCAGACAATATGCCTGTGAAATAAGGTAAGTATCTGTGCCTACATTACAAATGGGGAAACTGAGGCATAATAAGGTGGTGGTTTGCCATGTAAATCGGTGGTGGAACTAAGGGCTTGTCTACACTGGCACTTTACAGTGCTGCAACTTTCTCGCTCAGGGGTCTGAAAAAACACCCCCCTGAGCACAGCAAGTTTCAGCGCTGTAAAGGGCCAGTATAGACAGTGCACCAGCGCTGGGAGCCGCGCCCCTCGTGGAGGTGGATTTTTTAGAGCGCTGGGAGAGCTCCCTCCCAGCGCTCTGCCGCGACTACACAAGCCACGTTAAAATGCTGCGGCAGGAGCGCTTTAACGTTGCCAGTGTAGACTAGCCCTAAGACTAGTATTTGACTTTTTTGACTCCCAGCCCTGAGCTGTGGTCACTAGAACAGGGCTGTCTTTTAATCTAAACTGATGCAAAACAAAACAAAATCCCTATAAATACAAGCAAAGCAATCCCAGTTTATAATGTGGTTTGTATTAAGACAGTCTTTGATAAAGCAAAATTTGTGGAATAAATTGCTGCAATGGAACGTCATGTCTAGGTGTAGATTTACCCTGCATACTAACTACTAAGATAGGATCAATGTTTAGTTTAGTCCCCTATATTTACATATTTTTTCTTAGTTATCTTTCTTTTTTCTGTCACTCAGCAGTAGATTTATCTAAATATATGCAAGAGGCCGAAAATTCCAAAACACGATTAATGTGGAACTCAGTGTGATTAACTTCCTGATACTGAATCTACAGTGCTGTCTCCAAATCTTGATTTAAAGTAATAAAAGGACAGCAATCAAAATAGGGATCTTGTCTTTGTGGAGTCCTAGTCGATTGCCTGTGCCTAGGGCACTGCTTGCAAACCCTGCTTAACAAGGCAGCCTTGCCAAAGAGATTTTGTTGGGTTTGGAATTTTTGGTTGGCTTTATATGCATACAATTTATATTGACTTGAGCTGTTATTTTATATAATTTATATTGACCTAAAATAGTGTTTTTAAGACACAGTCTCCTCATTTGTGGCTGAAAACTAGAGTGGCTTCTTCCCCAGTTGAGCTGAGGAATTTCTCTGCTCTTAAGACCATAATCCTCAATTTGTGATGTACTTATTTGTCGCTTAGGGTGTGGCGGTGAGATCACAAATGATGATTTATACGCTTTTTAGCAAGAAGATGCAGGAGTGGGGAATTATGAGAGAGGTGTTTGTAATAAATATATCATCTCTTTAACTTATTCAGGTGAAAGGCTTTTGGTGCATAGTAAATTATCTTGCAGTGCTGAGCTCATAGTATCTGTCTCCAGTGTGAATTTGGGCTTTTAATAAAGAACCCTTAATATGCGTTAACATGCTTTCAGAAGAGGCCTCAAATGCTAAGTGATGCTTAAATGAATAACAGACAGTCATACGCCTAAAGATTTACTAATCATTGAGTAGTATCATCTCCAAATTGTATTATTTATGTGTTGAAATATTTGAATAATGATATTCTGGCCTTTTTCTTTTCCAGAATTTTTGTGTGAGAGGACTTGAATTATTCTCTTTGTATCTATTCAGAGATATTTTGGAACTCTATGACTGGAATCTTATAGGTAACTGTACAGTTAAAAATATACACACACAGAAATATTAAATGTTATTTACGAATTCAGTAATTATGTCTAGGTTTTAAAACATGCTTTGGTTTAAAAAGGAGAACTTCAAGTAACAAAATTGAATGTTTTCAATTTTTAATAGTATGGATAAGTTTCCGGTTTGCTTTTACCAAGAGCAAACAGTTTATAAGGGTTCGTTATAGTGGGTATATAGAAACTAACAATGCTCAGAGTTGTCATCCAGGTCTCTTGGATAAGACATTTAACACTTCCTTAATTACTCCTACATGATTTTTGTTTTAAACGAGCTGTTCATTATATTATTTATATTGCACAATAATGTGTTTGTGAGGCTTTGTTGTCAGGGTGTCAAAAAGAATGCTGTCTTTGCCCTGACAAGCTCACAGACTAAAGGCATTTGTCCTGTAGTACAATGAAACTACAAAATAGTGTCACATAGACAGCTACATAGTATTCCTATGCTTACTGAGCTGTCATTATAGCTGAAAATTTTACCAGGATAGGTGGAAAAATACATACATTTTAAGACTGTGACACAACAAAATTTCAGAGTTAAAACTTTTGCTCAGTCTAAAACAAGAGAAATTTCAGAAGAACTTCACTTTAAAATATGTAAATTTCTTTTGGTGCTTGGGTTTTCCTATGCAGATTTATTTAATACTTGCTGTAACACAGAGATGCATATAAGTTTAATATTTTGTGTATGCTTCCTTTGGTTAGTTATTGAATATATTGCATGATCTGGTATTTGGATTAAGTATTGCTGGCTTTGATTGTACTCTTCTTTACTTTTTAAAATTGTAAATCACATACCATTTTGGGCTTTCCTTTTCACATGAAGCCTTAACTAATATCATTGGAAAGGAGAAAGAAACAATAACATAGAACATTTTTTTTTCTCCTTAGTATGTATAAAGATAAGTACGAACGAATTATTGGAACGAACTAATTGGAACGAACAAGACAAAATCAAAACAAAAGCAAATTCTTTATTCCTGTGTTCTTTTAGAACTTTTTTTTTTAATGCATTGATTATATAAGCAGAATTTTTTCTTCCTGCCCACATGGACATTTCTGTTATATAGTGGACCAAAGAGTACATTATCTCTACTTCCCATTTTACTGTGCTGTGTTTTGATAATTTCACTGAAGACTTAGATATTCTGGGTGAAATTGTGGCCCTGTTGAAGTCAATAGCAAAACTTCCATTGATTTCAGTAGAGCCAAGACTTTACCCTTTGTTTCTGCAAATATGTTTTCAGAGACTTAATTCTTTTTCTGTTAATTTTCTTATTTAAGGTCCTTCATTTGAAAACAATTCTTGTTGTCCAAGATTTCATTTCATGCCACGGTTTGTGAGGTTTCTTCCGGGTAAGTTTATATCATGTGGTTGGATGAAAATTAGGCTTCCAAACTCCTAGGCATCTCTTCAAACAAGGAAGAACCATTTATATGGGCCTCATAGCTATTTCTTCACATAGACTGAAGGTTCAGGCAGAATCACTGCTTTGGTTTGCACTTGGTCCACAATGTGAAAGTTTTATTTGCAGTCAAAAGAGCTAGAAACTTGATTTTTTTTATTTTTAATGGAAGCAGGGATTCTGGAGCATTAAGATGTGAATCACCAGAGGAAAAAGCCAACACCAGTCTGACCTGGTTTAATCGAACCCTCAAGCCAAGGAACAGTCTTTGGTGCAGAAAGGACTGTGTCTACTCTTGTATGAAAAGCCTACTTAGGGGTTTCCCACACCCACAATATCTGGGGGAAGATCCTCAATTGGTATACATTTTCATAACTTCAGTGGAGCTACGAAAATACATACTAGCTGGAGATCTACCTCTGGTTCTTCCAGGAGAATCATTTCCACAGAAATATTCTTGATATGAGAACAGTCCTCTATTTATTTTGGCTGTTCAGAGACCTAATGTCACGTAAAGTTGGCTTTACCTCCTAAACAAGGGTTACTGGTAGCTGTGTGGAGGAGGAGAGGGGTATAGACCACAGGTACAGTACTTCTCCATCCTTTAGGAAAAGGTGTTCACATACATTTAACCACTAATCCTTCAAATGACAAAAGTTTAATTGATCCTTAGTGGTGCAAAGACAACTGGTTTCTTCTCCTCCTGGAGATAATAGTTACCTGATCCCATAAAGTTACAGCCTAGTCATGGCTGGGTCACTCAGAACCAGGACATCTCTTTCCATCCCAACCTGGCACTTATTTCAGCACGACTCATGAGATGGAAGAGGTACTTAAGTGTCTCAAGCTCTCCAACTCTGCAGAAGGAGTTTACAAGAACATGTACCATTCAGGTGGAAAAGCTTTTCAGTCTAGTGTGAATAGGCCCTGGTGGGTCTTTTTGCTTGCCTCATTCAAAAACTTTTGCTTTCCTTTCTATTTTTTGCCTCAGTCTTGGATACAGACATCAGCACTCAGTTTATTTGCCATTTTGGGTTTCTGTGACCTTGTGGAAAGTAAACTCCTCTCCTGTTCTTCCCCCAGAATACAGGACTAAGGGCCATCTTGCATTTAATATGTCCCTCTAGACTGCTTCTGGTGTCACATTATTATTATTGTCCCCCCCAAAATCTCCATTTGAAGCACTTCTCACAGTCACTGACACTTCTAGCAGAAGGGTTTATTTTTAGAAGCAATGATTTCAGCTTGCTGAACAAGTGAGCTTCAGGGCTTTAGTGACTGATCCACCTTATTGTAAGTACCATGGGATAAAGTAGAATGGCTTTTGGTCTTAATGTATTCCAGATAATAATCTCTAAGAATGTACCTCCAGCTTTTTGACTAAGGGTGCAGATGTGGCATGAAACAATCTGTCTTGAGGAGAATCATGTCTAAGACCCTGTCTACACTGAGATTTGAAATTGTAAATGTAGTTGTAGCTAAACCAGCTTCAAAAATGGTTTGGCTTGCCTCTGCAGTCAGGATATTAAAAGCTGTCTGACTGCATCTATCACGGCTGTTCCTTAGCAGGCCTGCATCTTAAATTGTATTCAGTCAGAAGCAAATGTATGATGTTTGGTGGCAAACATCACTTCAGTTCTGTTCAGGCGATTTGCAAAATTGGCCACATGTGGCTCTGGGTCATCACTTGATCTCAGTACAAAATGAAAATAGATTTGACCTATGTGAAGTGTGTAACCTATTTCTAGGTTAGAAGTTGTCTAGTTCTACCCCGCTAGGTTTGGTTGTTTGTTTTTGGGGTGTATCTCTTAACTGGTATTTCCACATTGTGAGGCATCTTATCCTTTTCTGATTGTGAGTTTATATTATTATTTTTTCTGAGAAACATACCTGGAGCTTCTTAATCTCTACAGAATGAGAATCCATCGACCTGAGTATATTTGCCGAATATTATTTATCTATAGTTCTTCTTTGAAGACATTGGTGCAATATATCCCCACACATTCATCCACTGCCTTCTTAGAGATATAGGGATGAGTTGTTTGATTTCCCTTCCCCCTCCCATTTTCTTGTCTTATGTCTTTCAAACAGAGGTAAAGAGATATAGTCTCTAACTTTCACAATATCTGCACGAGCTGGCTGAGCTGGCAGGCATTGTGTGGCTCAGAACATTGAGCTAATCAACTCATATTTGCTCAGTGCCATAGGCCTCAGAGATGAAGAGCGGTAATCTACTGTACCTAATTTTTCAGAATGTCAGGGAAACACACATTATGGAGTAGTTGATTTTCTTTGGGATCCATGGTCAGTGGAGGGGGGAGTCCACAAACATATATTATTTTGACCATGAACACTGGAAAAGCCTAAAAGAGGCCAGATTTCAGAACTGGGTCCAGTACCATCATCTTTGGCTTAGACCACAGCATAGACTCTCCTCTTGTAACTTCATGAGCCCCATATTTGTTCAAGTAAGCAATTTGGTGTACATACCCTAGATGCTGCTGCTCAGGGGCTACCTCTTGCCAAATTAAATAAATTAGTTGTTGCCAGGTGAGGTCAGTTGGGTGGGAATATTTTCAAATTAAGAAGTTGTTTTTGCATTTTAGGCTGCCAGTGTAGCTTATTCTATCTGCTTCTGTAGCTCTTAAGAATAGTTTATCATTACAAAGGGAGTTTGGGTATGTTTCCCAGTTGTAGGTTTTATACTGGAATTTAGAACAAGGTTAATTCTACTGAAGAAAGTCTTCTAGAAAATTGCTCGCGTAGGTCATGTTCCTGATCTTCCACAGTTCTAGTATTTTCTTTACTCCATCAATCTAACCCTGTTGGAATTGGAGAATCACTTGCCTATTTGTTTATATTGGTTGGAGATTTAAACTGTACCACCCTGACCTGGTGATTCAGGAAGACTTTCCATATGATTCTCAGACTATTACTTCAGTCTTTGTGCTATAGCATTTTCATCATAATATTTTTAGACCTTCGTTTCTGCTCATCTCCTTGCACAAGACTCTATGCATTTTTCAAATAGCATATTGTGACTTGACCAGAACAGACCAGCTTATGAAGGGAAGTGGACTGAAATCTTCTGCTTCTTTGTAATGATGAATCCTTTCACTTAATGACGTCGCCATATTTACAGATTAAACTCTTTTTGTTTAAGGAAAGGATTTGAGAGTCTCGTATCTGAAGGAATCTTAGTAGCATGCATCATCTTCTATCCAAACATTTCCTCCACAAGCAAGTTTACATGTAGAATTTGAGTGGTGGATAGCTCCTCAATAAAATGCCTGACAGGACCATTATGAATTAATCTCACTTTTGTGGTCCTCATGGTCATGATTGACTGCTTAGTCCAAGTCAGGGTGCTTTTTATACTTTCTCTTGTCACAAAACGCAGTCTTGGCAATGCACATTTCTTCACTTCTCAGAAGTAGTTAGTAGTTTTAACATGTACTTGGTTCATCCAGAGACAGTAACTCAGCATGAGCCCAGGCTACTCTTTAGTCTTCATTACTGCAGGTGCAGCACATAAACACTGAATATTAGTCCGTAATGCCAGGATAACTTATTGCACGCATCCATAAATGTCCCATAAAATTCTTGAATGTTCCTCCAGAAAGCCACATAATGTCTAAACAGTTTAAAACTATTGTTGTAAAAGGAAATGATAAAATGTAAAAAGGGAGAATGTAACTGGACTATATAACTTATGGTTCTACATGCAGATTTTAAAGCTATTCGGCCAACTAAGTTAACTTGAGGCTTTCAAAAAGATTTAAGCTATTATTCTTTCTACCATTAATGTTATTGTTTCTAGTTGAGCAAATTGAGGTGCTTATGCATGTGCATTATTCATCAATAAAATGTTTGTGTTCCTATTAGTTAATTGTTTGAGCAGTTTGCGCTTTGTTTAACCCATCTGAACATTTTACTACTTCTGCATTATTTTCCTTTAATAACGCTTTGAAGGGAGGGATATTTTTAATAAATGTTTTTAATCTGTTTTTAAGATGGAGGGAAAGAAGTGCTGTCAATGCATCAGATCCTACTCTACTTGTTACGATGCAACAAACCTTTAGTCCCAGAGGAGGAGATTGCCAATATGCTTCAGTGGGAAGAGCTGGAATGGCAGAAATATGCAGAAGAGTGCAAAGGAATGATTGTTACCAGTCCTGGCATGGTACTGCAAACATTTTTGATTTATAAATAAACCATGCATGCACTACGATTATGGTTCAATGAGTTCGGCGTAGGCTAAATTGGAAAGGGAGAAGGAATCCAGAGGGATGAACAAGAATCCTTTGATTTCAGTGCTCTTGGAGTAACTATTGAAAGTATGCCGAATGTAAGAGAATTGGGGATGCAAAATATTATAGATCTATGGGAGTGAATTCACTTGATCCAGCGCCTGGACGAAGTTCACACTTGCTGCCCTATTCTTTGGCAGATGTGCAAGAGCAGGTTTACAGACTAACAACATATCAATGTATACATTGAAATTGCAATATTTTAAGCATGTGCAACCCTAATTTGGTCCCCTTGTGCATATGTATTATGATAATCTTTAACTACATGATCACATACTATTTATCTAGAGCACCCCTGCTTCATTCTGAGGTTGGGTAGTTATTCAATAATTCCTTTTATCTTCCTTAATCAGTGTGTGGCCTTATTTAATGTACATCAATCAACTCTGCACTGAATACAGAATTGTTAATTTTCTTATTGAGTGCTTCACTGACAGTAATGACTTTATTTTCAGAACACCTTTGTGATATTAGGTGGTGTTATCATCCCTATTTCACACGTGGAGATCTGAGGCAAGGAGATAGTAATGCCAAAATTATCAAGTGTCTACTAATTTTGAGTATCGAACTTGAAACACATATGGCCTGGTATTTTCAGAGTACTCGTTTTTTTTAATATCACTTTATACATTGAAAGCAAAGTTTTAATCAACTTCAGTTGCTGCTGTGAATGCTCAGCCCTTCTGTAAATTTGACCCCACATGTGTCAGTTGGGCACCCAGAAAATGAATAACACACAGTTAATGGCACCTTTGAAAAGTTGGTTTAAATGACCGGCTCAACATCACATAGAACTCAGTGGTGGAGACAAGATTAGAGTCTGATTATCTAGGGTGGCATTTAACTTCTTTAATCACAAGACCACTCTTTTTCTTATGGAAATGCTTTGCCTCTTTCTCCTATCAACTTCTGCAACAAATGAGGCAGGGTCTTACAGACAACAGCCTCCTTTACTACAAAAACCTGCATCATTTCCAGAACACCGTCCATTCTGTGTATTAAAAAAGCATATCTCTGATGTAGCCAGCATAACTTTCTTGCCAGATTTCAAGTTCCTGTTTCAAAGTATGGAGGTATTAGAGTTTCTCAGTAAAGTAACTGTAAGGATATTTTTAATCTGGGCAGAACAGTGTATTTTCCTTAACCTCGTTCTAGGTGAACTGTTCTTGCTGACACTTTCCAAAAAAAAAAGGAAAGAAAAAGAAAAATCAGTCTGTGGCAGACTCTCAGCATGGAAAATTTCAGCCCAAATGGTTAAATTTTGGCAAAGTTATAAGCAATTGTAAACAGGATCTTCTAACAGAAAGTATTAGGCAGCCTTAACAGTAGTGCTGCCTATAGTAAATGTCACAGACTCTGACACACAAGAGTAATATACAATAATAGAGGTCACTATAGCCCAGATTCCCAATTGGTGTAAATTGGGATAGCTTCATTGACTCAGTAGAGCTATGCTGATTTGAACTAGCTGAAAATCTATTCCTTCTTGTTGTATGCAAGGCTTTTGATTTCCATTTTTAACCAAGAAACACAGATAAAACACCCCCCGAAAAAAGAAAAAGAATCTGATGTTTATTCAGTACAAACTGGAAAAACACCAGAAATTATATCTGAGGTCTTGTCTACACAGAGCAGTAATGCAGATTACGGGGGTGTGGTTTCTAAAGCGCACAAATGTGTTGCGCATTAATTGATCCATGCAGACCTTGTTGGTGCACACTAAAGGTTCTCTAGTGTGCTGAACCTAGTGCTGTTTGAAACCATGCTACATTAAACCGCATGTGGAAACATTACAAAGCAATTACAGATTAGAGTATACCCTACTGAAGTGAGTAATGTATATTATATACATATTTGTATATACAAAGAGCCATGAAAACCCCCATTTTGTGGATATCTATGTAAAACTAATTTTTTTTTTAAAATAATCACCAGAAAATGAAATTAATAAACACAAAAAACAGAAGCTCTAGTTATATGTAAACTGGTAGAAAAAATATACGCTACTAATGTATCATTTAAGAAATAGTATGTACTCATGTAATTAAGGGGAATGAGTTTGCATTTGTAACATTAACTTTGGTATCTCCTGCCATTTGAGTACTTACCTATGCAGTCTTGACATTCTGGAAGGAAACTTTATGGGATGAATATGTGTGCGGGTGTTGGTATGGGTATACAAAAACATAAAGGCAATTTCCTATGCCTTAAAATGTTATTGTTGTATTACAATACCATGAAGGGAAGAGATCATTAATGCCCTTTGTTTCTTTTAAGAAGGTTGTGACAATTTTTTTTTTCTTAGTATGTGGATTTTTTAAATGATTACTACATCCTCTGAGTGTAAAAGTAAGTGAGAAATGGAGTATGAGAGTATCTTCCATGCATTTTATCCCCTATTTGATCAGCAGATACAACATTATTGTGAAGACCATATGAAACAATGCATTAGAAAATGACATCTCTTAAATTCAGTTTTTCTCAACTTAATACATCAAAGTAAAAACACTGTAAAGATAAAAAAGTAAACATTTATTTTGCTGTTTTTCTTCACTATATCATTTGTGAAATAAGAATTCCTGCTGGGAGCAAATAAAAAGATAGAGAAAAACTTGATTATTTTAAAATTTGAAGAATAAATATGGTATATGGAGAGGAGAAATATTTTGATAGGCATAATTTTAGATTTAGATTTAGACTTTAAAGAAGTAACAATAGACCAGCATTATTTTAAACAATTTAATATATTCATGTCATTTTCTTAGTTTCTCAAATTTGGTTTGGAAAAACTAATCCATAAATTTTAATCCAATATGTAATACTTTAAGCTTTCTTTTACAAATCCTGCTTCTCTTCCAGCGAACATAAATGCATATTTTATACACCTGCAATGTCATCAGATTTTTTAAGATACACAAATGTCTGGCTTGATCAATATTTGGATGGGAAAAATAGCACCTCTTTCCTGTCAATCAGTAATGAATCAACATCTCTGTATGCTTCAGCGTAGTACTATGTTGCTGGAGGTTCTATGTGTTGGATGAGATGTTAAAACCAAGTTCATGATCTCTTGTGGTCATTAAATGATCTCATAGTATTGGGGTTTGTCTATGTGTAAAATGCAGTGGTGTCGCAGCTACACTGCTCCAGTTATGCTGCTGTAGTGCTTCAGTGCACACACTACCTACACCAAAGGGAGGACTTCTCCATAGGATGAGGTAATCCACCTCTTTGTGAGGTGGTAGCTAGGTCGACAAGAGAATTCTCCCATTGACTTAGCGCTGTCTACACTGTGGGTTAGGTCGCTTTAACTCTGTTTCTCAGGGGTGTGGATTTTTCACACCCCTGAGTGATGTAGTTATACCAATCTAATTTCCTAGTAAAGACCAGGCCCTATTCATAAGAAATATAACTGTGAAAGGAGAAGACTAATTTGGTTGTGTCCTCTTTGCTTCTTAATGATGTACTGTATGAATAAGGTCTCAGATGTTTTTTATCTTTAGAAATACTATAAATATCAAGTGTGGTCACCCATATTTTTGCTGGAGGTCTACTTGAGAAACCAGAGAGTTGAATGTGGATCTTTCCCAGTCTGAAATTGAAAGAGAAGGGGTTTGAGTCTTTAGCAAAGAGTTACTTTGTGAGAATTATTTATCAGGTGTTCGTTAACATCTGTTTAATTCAGAAACAAATCACAAGGCCAATGTTCTTTCAAAGTTGGGTGCCTCAAGTTAGGCCTCAGCATCTATATTTAAGTACCTAAATAAAAGTGGTGTGATTTTTAGAAGGTGCTGATTTCCCATTGAGTTCAGTGGGAGCCCCTGCAAGCCACTTTGACTTAGTTGTCTAAACTGTAGGCATCCAAATTCAAAAAGGTTGGCCAAAATGTTTCTGATAGTTTGAGATTTTTATTCTATTAATCAGGTTTAGTTTCCTTAGTACCCATGATATCCTTATCCTACCAGTTTCTCAGATGTCGTCCAGGAAAAGCAGGGTAGAAAAGACCGGAGTTTCTAATGCTTGAGGGGAATCAGAAAAAAACCTTACTTTAATAAATAAAAACCTTTCAAAGTTGCCTTCATAGATCATAAAAAAGCAAAAAGATGATAAACTTATTCCATTTCTTTTTTAAAGTGACTTCTAATCTCAGGTCCTTGTTAACTTCTTGTTTCAGAAACAGTAATCAGACTCCTAAAAATCCTCCCTGTGTTTTCATTTTTAAATTCCTTTAGTCTTCTTCATATCCTCATCTAAACTATTATGTATATAAAAAAAAAAAAACTTTCTTCACCTGTTTGTAGGGTGGAGTAATTTTAAAAATTAAATTTTTTGATGGTCAAGTAAAATATTTCATTTTCCATTATCATGTAAAAAGGATAGCTGATAAACATTTATTTTCACTTTGACTGGTATTGTAATTCTGTCCTCTGACAAGCATTTTCACCATTTAATTCCAGAAATGGCTGCATTTCACCAGTGGGGGAAATGATCCCTTTATATAGTTGGTATCTGTTTGTAAAACACTTATTTTGGGAATGAAAGATTTGTTATAAACACACTTTAAAAATAATATAATTATGTAATAGCAATAGCCATTCATAACTAATAACGTCATAAGAAATAAGGTAACTTTTCTATGTGGAAGTTCTTTGCTAAATTGGCAGTTTTAATATAAAGACGACTCTAAGTAATGTATCTTTTCAGACACTTCAGAGAACTTGATAGCTTTAGCATCATCCAAACAGCTAATTGCCAAGTGGGAAATCGTTTGGGTACATAATAAAACAGCTTGCAAGATAATGGAGAAAATATTTGTGCAGAGAGATTCAACTGTGGAACTTTAGCTAAGGTTTTTGCACATGCTACAAAGAGCACTACAAACGGTACATCAACTGCAATGATGTGGAGTTACTCATGTTCTCCATTTTTAGAGATGAAGTGAAAATCACTTCCTTCTACAGTTTTGCTTTTAAAAGATCTTTTTCAAGTGCGAAAAGGACAAAGTATTCCTCATTATTCAAAACTGCGTTCCTCATTATACACATTGGCTTTGGAGCATTTTGTAAGAGTGACGCTACAATTTTTAATGCCTCTTAGTCTGTGTGATTGGATGGGTCTAAAATTAGAGAGGTGACATGGTCTAATCCAGTGGTTCTCAAAGCTGGTCTGCCGCTTGTTCAGGGAAAGCCCCTGGTGGGCCGGGCCGGTTTGTTTACCTGCCGCATCCGCAGGTTCGGCCAATTGTGGCTCCCACTGGCTGCGGTTCGCCCCTCCAGGCCAATGGGCCTGCGAGAAGCGGCGGCCAGCACATCCCTTGGCTCGCGCCACTTCCCGCAACACCCATTGGCCTGGAGCAGCAAACCGCAGCCAGTGGGAGCTGCGATCGGCCGAACCTGCGGGCGCGGCAGGTAAACAAACCAGCCCGGCCCACCAGGGGCTTTCCCTGAACAAGCGGCGGACCAGCTTTGAGAATCACTGGTCTAGTGAACCAAATACAGGAATAGTAGTCAAAAGTACCAGGATTCGATCCTGGCTCTGGTACCAACTTAATGTTTGGCCTTCAGCAATTCATGTGAAATTCTCAGAAACTCTCAAAACCTCAATTCCCCCTCCGCTGTAAATCAGGATAATACCTGTATTTCAGGGTTGCTGTGACAACCAATTAGTTTACATTGGTCAGCCCTGTAAGTGCCACATATTATTATATATTAATGGTTTTCTACATATATAACTAAAATATATATTCTTATTCATTTCAATATGTTGAAAGTCTTCTCCGCTTCTCAGAATGATGATGTCATTCATTTGTCAGGTCCTGGACAACGTCATAATGTATACAATAAAATATCACTAGCGCTCTTGTTAATTAGATAAACTGTATTGATTTTCTTCCTAGAAACCCAGTTCAGTTCGTATTGATCAATTGGACCGTGAGCAGTTCAACCCTGATGTGATTACTTTTCCCATTATTGTTCACTTCGGGATACGGCCTGCTCAACTCAGTTATGCTGGAGACCCTCAGTAAGAAATTTTCCTTAAAGCTTATGTTTTTTTAAACTAGAGAATCTGAAATGTAGCTGTTTTTTCCTCTTCTGAAGTCTAATTCTGTTCTGTATATATTCCTTTATCAATTTTAGATTTTCAAAACGAGCACATCAAATTCATGCAATAATAAAATTATGCACTTGGTAGAAATGTTACAAAACCGGTGGCTATGTCCTTGTCCCGGATCAGCCATGCCTCTGCTGCTGTTACCCGGGCTACCTCAGCTCCACTGCTCTTTATACTTGTGCTATAGCTCGATGAGAGCTAGTGTGAGTATGTGTGCGTGAGCAGGGCAATCATACCCCTAGCTCGGAGTATAGACAGAGCCTAAGTTGACTTCACAAATCTCATGTTGTGTGTGAAATACCTAATACTAAGGTATTCAGAAAAGTTCCATTTGGTGTGTTTTTTTTCTTGTCCAAGTTTTTGATATAACTAAGTGAAAAGAACTATAAATCAATCTTTTTTATTATTATTATTTTTCTTATTCTGCTGCTCATTCTGTAGTATGTGAGTGCCTTCCATGAAAAATCGGTAGCAATAGCAAAGTCCCTAGTGGACTTCAAGGAGTCTCTGCCTCTCCTTTTTCGGGGTAAAAAAAAATCTGGTTGGGATGTTCGGTTTGTTGGTTTGTTTTACTTGGCAGGATGATTTGTTTTTGTCATTTAATTTTTCTTTTTGGACAGATAAATGTATTATCTGTTTTGAAAATTGTTCTGGTGCTGGAATCCTTTACTGAAATGAAAAGAAAATAGTGTAGAAGTAGCCTGTAGATTTCCAGTTTCCAATTTGTTTTATAGACCAAGCAGACGCTGGAGTCTCTAGGGCCGAGGAAATGCACTGGAGAATGATGGAGTGAAATAGCTATGAACAGACTCTAGTAAGCAAGGAATGGGATGGTGTGTGTGCTGGAGTTATGAGGATTCTGAAACAGTAAAATAGCTGCTGCTCCATTTGATGGAGCGTCAGTAATATGGAATCTTCACACTAAACCACCACTCTAAACTAGTGCTATTTGTGCAGACAAAACATAGAAGAAAATAGATCACTAAAGCAAATACTTTGATCCCTCCTTTGCTTCATTTTAAAAGAATTTGATTTTGTGTTGAGAGTCTGCTTCTGCTATGATTTAAAAAAAAAATACTGTGCATAAATTGGGCAGTTTTACCTTCTGCTTTGACTGAAACATTTTTTTTTGTGTGTGCACAATATAAGGGCTGCATTTAGTCTTGCTATAAGTGACATATGGACCTCATATCAAGAAGAGGAGTCATTCACATGAGTTAGAAAAAGGCTTTGACTCAAGGCCACACAATACTAGGATGACCAGACAGCAAATGTGAAAAATCGGGACAGGGGGTGGGGGGTGGGGGGTAATAGGAGCCTATATAAGAAAAAGACCCAAAAATCGGGACATCTGGTCACCCTACACAATACCCTCCACTGAAATGTGACCCATCAGAGATACCTTTTTTAGAGTGAAGTAGTAGGGATTCTTTGCACTTTGTTAGTGAGAGCTAATTGTTTGATCTTATGAACCGATGAGGCACTCATGTTGTGTACTTCTAGTATGTGACCTAGATGCATTTTTTATTCTGTTTTTTCCTGCAGGTACCAAAAGCTATGGAAGAGCTATGTGAAGCTCCGCCATCTGCTGGCTAACAGTCCCAAAGTCAAACAGGCTGATAAACAGAAATTATCCCAGAGAGAGGTATGCTGGACCTTCACCCATAGTCAGTGATTGAGCACAGAAAGGGGTGGGGCTGTGTTACTGCATTTCTATAGAGAAAAGGAAAATAATATCTTCTTATTGTCATCCTCACAAATGATTTTCTTTTCCGCATGTTGAATTGATGTTACCTTTTGTTCTTTGTCTCCTAATGGAGAGACATTTTCCTGCACTACATTTTACCCAGTTACAGATACTGCCATAAGATGTTGAGCTTCTTACAGGATTAGTCATTAGCAAATGCAATGCTTAATGTTGAGAAAGGCTTTCCATTCTAGGCTACTCTTTTCAGCTGCTCATAATCTTAAATTTCCATGATTTACACTTGGTCCAAAGTTGAGTTTCATTGGAAAATTCAAGTGAGTTCCCTTTGCCTCTTAGAGTTGGTAGGACAACTCCCACATTTTATGTTCTCTGTATGTGTATATATATCTCCTTACTATATGCTCCATTCTATGCATCCGATGAAGTGGGCTGTAGCCCACGAAAGCTTATGCTCAAATAAATTTGTTAGGGCAGGTCTACACTTACTTCCTGGTCCGGCCGTAAGCAATCAATCTTCTGGGATCGATCCCGGAAGTGCTCGCCGTCGACGCCGGTACTCCAGCTCGGCGAGAGGAGTACGCGGCATCGACGGGGGAGCCTGCCTTCCGCGTCTGGACCCGCGGTAAGTTCGAACTAAGCTACTTCGAATTCAATTTGCGTACCTTAGTTTGAAGTGGGGGGATAGTGTGCACCAGGCCTTAGTCTCTAAGGTGCCACAAGTACTCCGGTTCTCCTTATGGGTGAGGCAGTGATGGGAAGGTGGACCGATTTTTAAAAAACAAAAACAAACCTTAGTTGTCGGGTTGTGGTATTTTTTTTCTGGCAAAATAACTCCAAAACAGTTGTAGGTAAAAACTTTAATTTTTGCATAGTCAGAGTCTTCATGAGAAACATGGTGCTTGCAAAGTTTGGTTGTTTCCCCCCCCCCCCCAAAATGTTGACTACTCAGCAGCTTCCATTGACTTCAGTGGGAAATACTGAATGCTTATGTACAGGGCTGGCTCCAGGCACCAGCCGACCAAGCACGTGCCTGGGGCGGCACCTTGTAAGGGGCGGCCAATCTTGGGGTGGCGGGGGGCGCTCGGGTTTTTTTGTTGTTGTTGTTTTTGTTTCGGCCAGGCGGCACTCGGGGGGGTGGGTTATTTGTGTTTCGGCGGCGTGGGGGGGGGCGGGGGGGGGGTTGTTTTGGCAGCACTCTTTTTTTTTGTTTTGCTTGGGGCAGCAAAAATGTTAGAGCCGGCCCTGCTTATGTAACCCACACACCTCCTGGGTGTGGTGCTCTGTCCCCATCTACTAGCACCGAGACCACTTTGAGAGAGAGATTAATGAATCTGCTCTACAGCCTTAGCTAAGAGCCATGTGGCTTTTAGCTCACACAGTAGAGACTCATGCATTTAGCTCCAGAGTCCCAGGTTCGATCCTGCCCGCCAACGATCGGGGTCTGTCGGTGTTACACTTAGGGCTGGTCTACACCCAGCCGCTAGTTCGGCGGCTGGGGATCGAAGTTCTGGGTTCGACTTATCGCGTCTGGTCTGGACGCGATAAGTCGAACCAGGAAGTGCTCGCCGTCGACTGCGGTACTCCAGCTCGGCGAGAGGAGTACCGCGGAGTCGACGGGGAGCCTGCCTGCCGCGTGTGGACCGCGTCTGAACCGCGGTAAGTTCGAACTAAGGTATGTCGACTTCAGCTACGTTATTCACGTAGCTGAAGTTGCGTACCTTAGTTCGACTTGGGGGGTTAGTGTAGACCAGGCCTTAGCATTTCAAAAATTCAAGCCACCTCATTATGGACTAAGAAGCCTGCTTTGAAGCACCCACCTCTTTAAATCTTGGACTAGAACTTGAAAGTTGTTTCTTTGCATGTATTCCAGATACTCTTAATGGCACACTTTACTTGCATATTTATATCAAGGAGGAAGGAACTTGTTTAGTATATGAAACTTGATGAAGCAACTTTTCCATTTTGTCACAAAGCCCTGTACTCAGTGTTGCCTTACAGAATCATAGAATATTGGGGTTGGAAGAGATTTCAGGAGGTTATCTAATCCAATCCCCTGCTCAAAGCAGGACCAACACCCACTAAATCATCCCAGCCAGAGCTTTGTCAAGCTGGGCCTTAAAAACCTCTAAGGATGGAGATTCCACCACTTCGCTAGGTAACCCATTCCAGTGCTTCACCACCCTCGTAGTGAAATAGTGTTTCCTAATATCCAACCTAGACCTCCCCCACTGCAACTTGAGACCATTGCTCCTTGTTCGGTCATCTGCCACCACTGAGAACAGCCGAGCTCCATCCTCTTTGGAACCCCCCTTCAGGTAGTTGAAGGCTGCTATCAAATCTCCCCTCATTCTTCTCTTCTGTAGACTAAATAACCCCAGTTCCCTCAGCCTCTTCTCGTAAGTCATGTGCCCCAGCCCCCTAATCATTTTTGTTGCCCTCCACTGGACTCTCTCCAATTTGTCCACATCCCTTCTGTAGTGGAGGAACTAAAACTGGATGCAGTACTCCAGGTCTGGCCTCACCAGTGCTGAGTAGAGGGGAATAATCATTTCCGTCGATATGCTGGCAATGCTCCCACGAATACAGCCCAATATGCCATTGGCCTTCTTGGCAACAAGGGCACACTGCTGACTCATATCCAGCTTCTCGTCCACTGTAATCCCCAGGTCACTTTTCTGCAGAACTGCTGCTTAGCCAGTCAGTCCCCAGGCTGTAGTGGTGCATGGGATTCTTCCTTCATAAGTGCAGGACTCTGCACTTTTCCTTGTTGAACCTCATCAGATTTCTTTGAGCCCAATCCTCTAATTTGTCTAGGTCACTCTGGACCCTATCCATACCCTCGAGTGTATCTACCTCTCCCCCCAGCTTAGTGTCATCTGCGAACTTACTGAGGGTGCAATCCATCCCATCATCCAGATCATTAATAAATATGTTGAACAAAACCGGCCCCAGGACTGACCCCTGGAGCACTCGGCTTGATACCGGCTGCCAGCTAGACATCGAGCCGTTGATCGCTACTCATTGAGCCCGACAATCTAGCCAGATTTCTATCTACCTTATAGTCCATTCATCCAATCCATACTTCTTTAACTTGCTGGCAGGAATACTGTGGGAGACCATATCAAAAGCTTTGCTAAAGTCAAGATATATCACATCCACCGTTTTCCCCATATCCACAGTGCCAGTTATCTCATCATAGAAGGCAATCAGTTTGGTCAGGCATGACTTGTCCTTGGTGAATCCACGTTGACTGTTCCTGATCACCTTCCTCTCCTCCAGTAGCTCAATTCTTCCTCCCCCTTACTTGCAAGAGTCTTGTGTAAGCATGGGTGTGTGGAATTTGAATGTTATTGCAAAGGGGTACTCAGAATTTATACTCAGAGGTCCAGTGTATATTCTAGGTAGCAGCTGGAAGGGGATATCTGTGCTTGTGTGTAGGCATGCAGCTGTATGTTTGTGTGTGACTGTCTATAATCATGTAGCTTACATGTGTGTATAAAGTGAAGTGTGACTGGATTAATCAAGGAGTCTTAGACCGACAGCATCACCAGTTTGCTTTTTCTCTAACGACTGAAGCTGCTGCTGCAATAGATGGTCTTCAGTATATTTGACAGTGCACCAGATTTTATCATTAGTGCAAAGCATAGCATACTGTCGCGTGAACACGGGGCTTAATTAACATTTTATTTATAATAGTGTTAAATAAGCCCCCAAACCTCAGCTTCTTTCCTTGTAAATGGGAAGTACCACAGTGTTAAAAGTTATCTATGTCATAATTTTAAGGAGGAATGCTTTTCCCACTGAAATAGATGACTTTTATCTTTACTGTAGCTTTCATCACTGCAGGGGAGAACAAATGGAAGGCTAGAACTTTTTATTAAAAAAGTCTCTCATTAGGGAATAATGGATGAGTTATTCTTAAAACAGTAGCAGAGAGGGCGTGGGGGTGATTGCATTTTTTCTGCAAAAATGAAGTGCTCCTTTGACATTTATCACTTCTTGTAGTGTGTAGACCTTTGTTTCTAGATTGTATCATCCAGGATGATGGTTTCCTAAAGTAATTGTCTGTCATAAGGAAGATGTATTGAAAACAGTTCTTAGGCAGAAACTTTGCGGTAGTGTGCTCCCACTTTGTGACACTGAGGACCTCATCGGTAATTTAGTAGGAGCTGGCGGGCTGCTGTAATTGGCATGTGAATTTAAAAAAAAGAAAAGAAAAAATGTATTCAGAATTGGGCACTGATGATGCAATGATATGCATGGTACTGTATAAAAGCCTAGAAGACCTTATAGAGCCTACCCCTAAAGAGTGTACAATTTATGGCCTCTGTCCACAGCCCATTGGCATTTGGATTTGGGCCTAAAGGAACAGGGCCTCATACACACCTGCTCATTATGCCATTAATTTCAGTGTGATTACGGGATGCTAGGTCATTATTTGTATTGAGATGGTGTCTAGGAGCTTCAGTCATGGACCAGAAGGAACCCTTTGTGCTAGACCAGGGGCGGGCAAACTTTTTGGCCTGAGGTCCACATCGGGTTTCGGAAATTGTATGGAGGGCCAGTTAGGGGAGGCTGTGCCTCCTCAAACAGCCAGGCATGGCCTGACCCCACCTGCTTCTCGCCCCCTGACGCCCCCCCCCCCACCCCCAGCCCGGACTCCTGCCCCATCCAACCCCCCCGTTCCCTGACGGCCCCCCCGGGACTCCTGCCCCATCCACACACACACACACACACACACACACACACACACACACACACACACGCTCCCTGTCCCCTGACTGCCCCCTGTCACCCCATCCAACCCCTCCTCTCATTCCTGACTGCCCCCCTGGGACCCCTGCCCCATCCAACCACCCCTTCTCCCTGACCGCCCCCAGAACCCCTGCCCTTGACTGTCCTCCATCCCCCCATCCAACCCCCCCCTTCCTGACTGCTCCCCCAGGATCCCTGCCCCCATTCAACCACCCTGTTCCCTGCCCTCTGACCGCCCCGCCCCCTATCCACACCCCCGCCCCCTGACCACCACCCCGAACTCCCCTGCCCTCTATCCAGCCCCCCCTGCCCCCTTTCTGCGCTGCCTGGGTCACCGGTGGCTGGCAGCGCTACAGCTGTGCCGCCCGGCTGGAGCCAGCCACGCCACCGCGTAGCACAGAGCACCAGGTCAGGCCGGGCTCTGTAGCTGCGCTGCCCCAGGAGCTCACAGACCCGCCGCCCAGAGCATTGCGCTGCCAGTGGCGCAGTGAGCTGAGGCTGCGCGGAAGGGGGAACAGCGGGGGAGGGGCTGTGGGCTAGCCTCCTGGGCCAGGAACTCAGGGGCCGGGCATGAGGGTCCCACAGACCGGATGTGACCCACAGGCCATAGTTTGCCCACCTCTGTGCTAGACCCTGTACAAACTCAAAACAAAGAGACTGTCTGTGCCCTAAAGAGCTATGTATAGTTTCCTTAAAACTGAAGCAGGCAGCAGGGAGGGGGAAGTTCTCAGCAGGGGCCCTGCAGTGAAGCATAGAGAGAGGAGAGATGTCACTTTTATCTTTAGTCCTTTATTCCAGTAAAGTTCCTTGTTCTCAATTAGAAGAAAATATGCAGTGACTGTTTCCCATTGTCACATGATATGTGTGGGAGTCGACATACTCATGGGGACATTTACAGTATCAGGACCTACATTCAGACTAAGAGACCCTAAAACATACTGGATTATTTATTCTATTTATTTCTTCTGATTTATACAAAAAATAAAAGGGACTCCTATCCAAGGCTGTAGGTCCCCTTGCCGTTTTTCAGAAACAGAAATAAACTGCCTGCAGAAGACCAACTTCTCAAGGTCAAGGCAGTGCAGTTTTAATGGTTGGAATAAAGAGGGTAGATTTCATAGTAGGAGCCTCTGGTATCAGTGGATACTGACCCCTTGTTCCATAGGAGAGGTATTGACGTTTAACCCAGATCCGTTATAAGGTGACTGGGGCTAGATAATAAAGGTCTGTCTCTTACCCGCATGAATGAAGGGTTGGTTGTTTCTCACCCAAGCCTTGTGATGGAATATCAGATGTCAGGAATTCCAGAGAGAAATGGCATTTGCTTATACTTGTATATCACTCAATAGATGCATAGGAATGGCTTTGTTCATTTCATCTTCAGCAAAAACCTGTGATTGGTCAGCTTTGTCCTCATCCTGCAGCTTATCAGGATAAGGAGACTGAGCCACATGTAGCCCTTTGTCATACTTGTGGGCATCCAGGCCACCCCAACTTACATCATTACCAAGGGGTGGGTGGAGATAATTACAAGATTTAGGTTTAAAAATTGCTCTCTGAAAGTGTGCTTTACAAATAAATAAATAAATAAAACCCATTCTCAAATACACAATCCTAACACCCTAATGTCTGTTTTTCATGCCCACATTTGGTTTCATATTGCTTTGTTGTAGAAAGTTTCTCACAGTTGCACCATTCCCTCCCTTTCTAGGAAGCGCTACAGAAAATCAGGCAGAAAAACACAATGAGACGAGAAGTGACAGTGGAGTTAAGCAGCCAAGGATTCTGGAAAACCGGTATTCGTTCTGATGTCTGCCAGGTGATTATTAGAGATAATTTAGAGAATTTTTATTAGAGATCCCTCCTGAAATCAGTTTCTTTTGTTAGTTAATAGACAGCAGATTAACGTCTCCTAATTTTGCAATGTTAAGGCCTTAGCTACACAGGGGTTGCCCCTGTTACATTATAGTGAACCGTCACTGGTATTGTTGCACTGGTATAGACAGTGCTATTTGTACAGGTGGCACTTACCCCTGAATGAAACAAGAGTAATCTGTGCTTATAGCAGTTTTGTGGCTTATAGCAGTTGTACAGCTACCCTGGTGCCTGACAATGACTGTAACCAGGATAAAACCCCAGTGTAAAAAAGACCGAAGAGACTAACTTTGAGTTTTCAGGGCTTGTTGGTCAGTAAATTGGCCTTTTTTATAAAACCTTTTTTTTTTTTTTTTAATCATATCTTCAAGGAGAATTTAAACTCTGTTGTATATTAAAGTGGAAAAACACACAAACCACAACTTCTTTTAACTTTTAGATTGGGAAAAAAAAAAAAAAAAAAGTGCCCAAAAGAAAAAAATTTAAAAAAAAAAAAAAAAAAAAAAAAAGAGTTCTATCCCAGAGCAAGGGACGTGACAGAGTCCATGAATACTGACACAAAGGCTAATAATCCAACACACACAAATAAATCCAGTGAACTTTGTTTCAAAGATGCTAATTCAAGGCTCAGTGTTTCCAGGTTTAATTAATGTTAACCTAGCATTGTATAATGCTAATCAGACATTGCATACAGTGTGACAAATGTATAGTTAAGAATCCTATGATTGTATTGAACCCATATCGTCTCAACTTATCTCTTCCTGGCAAAGCGTAAGGAGCAGTCTTGATGGAGGATGAATATTTAAATCCCAAACCCTGTCAAAAATAATTTCTCTTCCATCTAAGACTTCTTTTTGATGCCAGTACTGTTTATAAGGTCTGAAACAGGATACCAGCGCAGTGTACCATGCCATATTTATAGGAATTTGTGAGTTTATTCTAACTTTTGTTATCTAATATATTTGTTGCTACACTTTAAGACAAACTGTGCATATATTTCTTAATTTGAAAGTTTAGAAACTGATTTGTTTATCTCTTTAGTAAATTTTTTTACAATTTATCTTATAATGTCTTATTAGACATTCTTGTTTTCTTTAATTGTTGAAGGACAGCAAATCACCAAAGAGCAATGAGTATGAAACATAATTTCACATATTGTTTTGTACATCTAAAACAATAAATTAGACTAGTCAATTGTTTGGATTTCTTTGAGAGGTCATAAGGAGACTAAACTATGCATCTTTAAAATGAAAGATTGCGGTTGCTGATTTTCAGATATGCTTTTTGCCAGATTAGAGTAAAAACTAAATGAATGTAAATCAATTCTGCAGGCAGATTTAATGCAGAGCGATTTAAAATTATTGGTTTGCTTTAATTCTTAAAAGCTCTGTAGTTTAAAAGATCAAAAAATTTTATAAACATTGAAGTACTCTAATAATTTTAAATCACTCTGTTGCACAAAGTATAATACCAGTCTTGGCATTTTCCAAAATGAAGCACTTGCAAATAGGGAGAGAAGGAGTGAAGTGCTCTGATTAAAATGGCTCTGTTTTGTGTGAAGTAATTCAAAATTATTGGGCAGGTGGAGGGCACATCTTCTTTGCTGCTATTAAATTATTACTTACAAAGAATTATTCTTCTAGCCAAAATAGTTTTAATCAAATGGTGTAATGACTCTCCTGCCTATAATGCTATAGTTCCAGAAGAGACCATATTTCTTCAGTATCCATTAATTTGCCTAATGCAGTTTTTAAGTTTGTTTTTTATGGGAAGGAGGGGTTGGGAAGTGTTCCCCTAAAAAGAATTGGGAATGTTAAATAGCCATAATCCTATCTGACAGATATTAATCAAATTAATCACATATTTGGTGTCAGGAAAACAACACTTTGTCAATATAATTACAAGAGTCTAAATAAAGACATTCTGTGTACCTCATGTTTATTGTCTGAAATAGACCAATTCCTTACTAGTTGAACTTCTAAATAAAAATCTAAAATGTTGATAAATCAGTACTACAAACTGGGCCAAACATACTGCTTGCAGTATACAAATAGTATTAAAACTGTGGTCTGTGCACTAATTCCCCGATGTAATCATTCTGGGTGCCCAGAAGGCTACTACAGTGGACAGAAAATGCAGAGAAATAGTGAACTGGTGGGCATGCATCACTGGTCCTTGAGATGATTTATTTTTGATGAAGTGGTCAAGAATGAAGATGCACAAGATGCACAGTTATAGAACATATAGTTGGGGGTCGTCCCCCTCCCCCGAGATTGTTATGAGAGAAACTACTAACAGTATTGGATTTTAATTTAAATATGAGAAATTCACTTAAATCTAATTCTATTCAGCAACAGTGTTTTCACTTCCTAGTAATATAGTTCTTACCAGTCATCACATCTGCAATGTTAACCCACATTTCTTAAAAAAAAAAAACCCCTCAAATGCAATCTTATGCTCTTTTCAACAAAAGGTAATCCTTATAATCTCATAGCACTGTTATGTTCACCAGTTCTTACTCTATGACAGAGCTCAGTTTCACCAACATACCAAAATCCACAAAGACACTCAACCCCATAAATTACATGATCTGTTATACATGCTTAACTAATTTTCTCCCATACATTCCCCTTTAATCATACGCTTTGCATTCATTGTGAAGTGATACATGGATAATTTTCAGATTTCATCTTCAAATAAGTCTTGTTTCTATGAATACTTAAACTTGATTTTGCTAATTACAATAGGAATTATAATTTTATATTGCATATTGTAAAAGCATTCATTATTTCACATGCATATATAAAGTATGATTTTAAATTACATATTATGATTTAGCCACTATAAATCTTATATTTCTTATTCTTCCATAAGAACTTTACTGTTGGCATAATAGAATAGGGTAAACTGTGCTATTTGTTCAGTTATCAATTATTTTCCCCAGATCTCTGGTCTAGAACCAATGCTTAGACAAGTGTATAAAGGGGGAGATTTTCAAAGTGCACTTAGGAATCCTACTCTTATTGAAAGCCACTGGGATTTGGACACCTAACTCCCATTTCAGTTTTGAAAATATTACCCAGAGCGTTTTTGCTAGATGGCCAAATAGCAACTTTGTAACTGCCTTTCCAACTCTTTCTAGCATTCAGTATCTCAGGAACTGCTAGTTCAGTCCTTGATAATGTTTGAAAACATTGGCCACTGAATTCTTGTGAGGAAGTTAGTGAAAGCAAGATGGCAATGAGAATGTAACTTTATACTGCATAATTTTCCTAACTGCCATCTTGAAACAAGTGCTTAGTAACTTGTAAAAAGCTGGTTATCCCATAGGATTGCCAACTTTCTTATCACACAAAACCGAACACCCTTGCCCCTTCCCCGAGGCCCTGCCCCTGCTCACTCCATCACCCATCCTTCCGTTGCTCGCTCTCCCCCACCCTCACTCACTTTCAACAGGCTGGGGTAGGGGGTTGTGGTGCGGGAGGTCAGGGGTGGGCCAGAAATGAGGGGTTAATCAAAAACCGGATGCCCTTGTGACCCTATTATCCCAGGTGTCAAGTGGTATAAAATGACTTTTCCTCATCTTGGTGGTTTATGAAATATTATACTTTAAAATTATGTCAGAGGCCTAACCTGGCCTTGTGTCTTTTTTTTTTTTTTTTTTTGTACTAATCAAAGTCTGCATATTGTAGCAAGTGCCAGATGGCCATGTAACGTTTTGCCACTACTTGACTTTACCTTGATACGCCTTGATATATTCAGCAATATGCAACAGAAGAATCTTTCCACCCAACAAAGTACTTCAATAGAAGACGAGTTATATTCATTGAAGGGCGTAAGGTCATTATTATTTTTAGTTTATTTCTCATGTAAATCAAAACAAAGTAAAATTCATGTCATAACAAGCTAAACTTCTTTGTGTGTTTGATGGTTACTCAGTTGGGTTCTCTGTGTTTTGTAAATGAATAGTTTTCCTCATTGCAATTATTTTCCTAGCATGCAATGATGCTTCCTGTTCTCACCCACCATATTCGCTACCATCAATGTCTGATGCATTTGGACAAGTTGATAGGCTACACTTTTCAAGACCGATGCTTGCTACAGGTAAGAAATGCCAAAAGACAAATTACATACTAATTTGCCATTTGAGTTCTGGAGGACTGAAGCTCTGCTTCTGTGGAGCAAGGGGAGGAGAGCTGCATGCATGACCATCGTCCCCAAGATAGGTAGGCTTATGTGTGTAAATCCTGCTGAACCCACTAACTGGAGAAATGAGGTGTATTGCTGATATTGGGAAGCACCTGATTATTTGCACCTCTGATCTTAAAAAGGTTCCAGGTGTCCTGTGAGAATCTGTAAAATCAGGTTTCCACTGCTTGTGGTTTGTAAATCATGGAATCCTGCAGGATGAAAAGCATTATATACGAATGCAAGATTATATTTTTATTATTTAGTGCATTCCTTTACTTGCCGAGTTCTGAAAAACCAGTGTCATACTGCAGATGTGTCTGTAAATTTTGCCTTGTACTATTTGTAGTTTATTATTTCATAAAGAATCCTTTGTGTTCAAAGCTATGAACAGACAGATGTCTCTTCAGACCTACAGGTGTTTGTTGTTCACTGTTACAAAGTGAAAGAGAGAAGTTGTGTTTCTTTTGGGGTTTTAATACATCCGTGTTGCATGATCAATCAGTTGTGCAAGTGCATTTTTGCACACTGGGCCTCTCTCAGCAAAAAACTGTCTATTGCAGATCTAAATGAAAGGGCAAAAATAAGTAAGTAGATCTGTGTTATCAACCTATTTTAGTGCAAAAAGTGTATTTTATATATAATTTCAAATTTAATTGCTAAAATTTAGGTGCTTCACTTTGTTTTTGTTTTTGTTTTTTTACATATAATGAATCAAGAATTATTAATAAAAACATTCTCAAATGCTTTGTACTCCTTGTACAAACCAGATTAGTTTGAGAATAGAGGGGATGGGTTCTATGCTTAATTATGAGCATAGGTTTTTTTGAATTTCCTGGGTTTTAGAGTTAAAGAGTATATAAAAGAAAATCCAGCCATAAAAACCTACTAACTGCCATGATAGAACACTTGAAGCAAAAAGCAAATAAGTTATCAATAATGAGGGAAAGCATAAGACAAGGTGCACCAACATAAATCACACTAAATGCACAGAGGCACTTTATCTAGGCTTGATCCTTATGCATGTTTATTGAATAGCTAAGAATTTGTTCCAGGAGAGAGAGTCCCTAGTGAGATTTATATTTCACCATTTAAATAACTGTGCATAGGATGCCAAATATACAAATATGTAATCTCCCAGTGATGATGTATGTTTCATCATACAGTATGCATTTAAAGACCTGACAGAGAAGAGAGGCTGGGGGGGTGGGTTTCGTGTGTTTTTGTTTTAACCATTCTGATAAGTTTTAGTGTGTTCTATTTTAGAGGAGTAAGTGTTTTAGAGGGATAGGTTTGGCAAACTGTAGTTAGTACTAATTAGGTATTTAACAAGGATTTGGGGGGAAATGCTGTAAGTTGAATAACAATTCGGTCTGACAATAGTTAAAATAAGCTTTGTTTGAATGAAGAGGGCAAAGGAGCTGTTTAGAAGCTTTTCATTTAGCATTGAAGGCCCCAATCCTACAAATATTTCCTGAATAACTTTCTGCATATAAGTAGTCCCATTTTAATGCAATGGGGCTGCTAACAATTCTCATATGCAGGATTGGGGCCTAAGTCTTTGTCTTCGCTGTATTAATTGCTGCTGACACCTCCCATTTCTGCTGCCCTTTATAAAGTGATAGCAGCAAAGATGCAAGTTCCTGGTAGTGCTTACAGTACAAACTAAATATAGAGCTCAAGTCTGCCACTCCTATTCACCTTCACTAATATGTTGCTCTGAAAAGGGTCCCAGCAAAGGCAATGAGAGTAAAAGGCTATTCATTGTGAGCAAGAGTAGCAGAGTCTGGCCTTTGGTGAGCAAAAATTCAATCATCTCTCTTTTGCCAAAAAAAGACAAGGCTCTCCTTATTGATACTTTACATATTTGTATTGAGTTACAAATGCTTGAGGTGGTATTGCGGTATATAGATACATTCATGTAGTAATAGTATTAGATTTCATGTTTTCTGTACTAAGCAAATCTTCATATTGTTTAACATAGTTCAGCCAAGTTAGCAAGCAAAACATTTTAGGGCAAATTGACAATTCAGATTTTCTTTTCTTTCAAAAACGAATTTATTTCTTTAAAAAGCTTTTGAAAGTTAATTAGTTTAAGTGGTGATCAGGCATAAATGATGTGTTTCGTGACATATCTGAAGTCGTACATCCTACATTTTAATTGCTTGAACCACAGTTACTAATTGCCAACAGCACATCATAGCATGTCTTCAAACTGAGAAATAGCTGTTGTTAGCAGCTACCAATCTAACATTGCTCTTAGCGTTTGCAAAAATTAACCCAGTTTTTTGACTTGCACATGCTGCTTTCTAGCTTGCCATGACTCATCCAAGCCATCACCTAAACTTCGGAATGAATCCGGACCACGCAAGAAATTCCTTGTCCAACTGTGGGATTCGACAGCCCAAGTATGGAGACCGAAAAGTCCATCACATGCACATGAGGAAAAAGGGTATGCAATTACACCATTATTGTTTTCTCTCTCACCATCCTTAGCCTCCAAGAAGAACTGCCACCTAATTGATGCTTGTTCAACCTATATTCTCCTGAGGGCTTGTCTGCACTGCAGCGTTTGCTCAAGTTAACTCTGTGAATGAAGTTAGCCTAGCTGGAGTGACGGTGGTCACAGTGAGTGATTGTGTCAGCAGTACAAAGTAGCTAAATCCACACTTCACTACTAGCTGGAGCTTCAATAACACTCGAGTGTACACACACACATCTCTCCCTGCCACTGAGGGCCAGCTATCTTGAGTTTAAAGCACCACTTACCTAGAGCTAGAGAGTTTTGTGTGTGCATGGGAGTCAGATTAGGGGCAACACTCAAGGATTATACCTTGAGCTAACACAGCAGTGAAGATTACCTCTAGGAGAGAATTTTAGTGGAAGTTTCTAATGCTTGAGCACATGGTAATACAAATAATTAAAAAATAATAATAATAAATGACCGGGAGATCTATTCTGAATGATTGGATTTTACAGATTAGCAAACAAGTAGCTGACAAAATAAGCAAGGATAATACATCACAGAATATACTTTGTTTTATTTTTGACAAGTGTATCTATTGATATTTTCATAATGCAATAAGTCGACTGAAGTATATTTTATAAAAACTGTGAAGTCTCATTAATGAGACCTCTTTGTAACACTGCTATGAAATCCTTGCTGAAACATGGAAGCAGTGCAGCTGTTGAATGTGTGGGGTCTGCTGCACAGCTTCTTTCTCCCTTAATTACAGGCAACTGCAGTAATACAAATTGTCTGTTGTTCATACAATGTTTGAGGTGGGGGTCTATCTCATTTGGAGCCTGGCCTTTCTGTGACTTTATATCTGGCTCCATGAATGGGCAGCCATTAGCTAGCCATTAGTCCCTATAAGGATTATACCTGAATAAAAATGTCTTGCTGTAATTTAACTCTGGATCTGTGGTGTTTCTGCTTTCTGATTGACCCAATAGCATTTTTTGTTTGTATGGTTTTTTAAATGCAGAGTGAGAGTTTTGCATGGTAAATACAAAGTGACGTTTGAAGAAATTACTTCAATGAAATTGGTGGTGATTTTTAATAACTGTTTAGTATTGTTTATTTTTACAGGAATAAACACCTTGATAAATATTATGTCCCGCCTTGGGCAAGATGATCCGACTCCTTCCAGGTAAAGAAAGCAGCTAATACTTTGCTTCCAGCATTTTAGTTATATGCTAATATGTGCTGATCAGTCTTTTTCTTGGACCTAGAAGGTTAACTAAAAATGAAAATTCAACTCTAGTTTCTTAAAAACCTTTGTAACAAAACAGCCAGATGATTTCTAACTGTTGTTAGTGTACACATACTTATTTATATGCATGTGCAAGGAAAGGAAAATCACTCCAAAAATATTGTTTCTGTTTTTTTAATAAAATCAAGTGGCTTTTTCGAAAAAGAGGAACAGCAAGAGTGGTGAATAGAAAAAGTCTTTAAAAAGGGTGTTACTCTGAGCTTGCAAAGCCACCATTTGCCAAAAACATCCTTTTGCAAAGGCACAGAAAACCAAACACCAGCTCTGTAATGCATCTAGTGAACAAGACATTTACGAGAGCCCCTAAAGAAAATCTGCTTCAGTCCACAAAACTTAAAGAATCATTAATACTTCTGTTCGGATAGCTCAAATGGTGAACAACGAAATGCTACATTTATTTTACTGCATGTGCATAGCACAAACTTTCCACTGTACTTAAAAAAATGATCAGGAACTAGATTCTGTGCTACCCTTACTCATAGTGAGTAGTATCTTACTCCATGAATAGTCCTATTGAAATCAACAAGGCTACTGATAAAGTAAGGTATCACTCAAAATGAGCATGAGTGACACAGAATTTGGCCCAATATAAATGAATATATATAATAACATAGAACAATATGTTTACTACAAAATTAATTGTTTAACTTAATAACCAATTATAATAATTATAATTACAAATATAATTAACTAAGTCACTAAGAATTCTGTGCAAATGAATTACATTTGTATTGCTTAAAATTTGCATTTAGGACATGCTTTGTAATCAGTTCTAGTTGCCCTGGTCCTGCGGGGCTAAGCAAAGCGAGTAAGAGAGACTTGGGTCATCCTACCTATTAGAGAATTAGAAAATTGGTCTGAAATCAACATGATTCAAAAAAGACAAGTGCAAAGTACTGAATTTGGGAAGGAAAACTTAAAACTTAAATCCACAGCTACAAAATGGAGAATAAATGTCTATGTGGTGGTACTGTTGAAATAGATCTGGGGGATCACAAATTTGAATACAAGTCAACAATGTGATGCAGTTGCTAAGAAGGCTAATATCACTCCGGGATGTGTTAACAGGAGTGTCATAAGTAAGACATGGGAGGTAATTGTCCCACTCTACTCAGTGCGGTCCAATTCTGGGCACTGCACATTAGGAAAGATGTGGACAAATTAGAGAGAATCCAGAGGAGAACAACAAAAATGATAAAAGGTTTAGAAAACCTGACCTATGAGGAAAAGTAAAACAAACTGGGCATGTTTAGTCGTGAGAAATGAAGACTGAGGCGGGACCAATAACAGTCTGCAAATATGTTCAAGGCTGTTAAAAAAGAAAATGATATTCAATTGTTCTCCTTGTCCACTAAAGGCAGGCCAAGGAGCAATGGGCATAATCTGCAGCAAGGGAGGTTAAGGTTAGATATTAGAAAAAAAAATCCAACTATAAGAGTAGGTAGGGTCTGGAATAGGAAGGTTGTGGGATCGCCATCATTAGAGGTTTTTAAGAACAGATTGGATAAGAACCTATCAAGGATGGTCTAGATATACTTAGTCCTGCCTCAGTGTAGGGGCTGAACTTGATGACCTCTCGAGTTCCCTTCCAACCCTCTGTTTCTGTGATTCTACCTCCATTCACAGCCATGTAGGACTCTCCCAGAGTACAGCTCTGGGTGTGGGTGGAAGAAGCAGGAACACCTGCGAACAAGTGGATGAGGTGATGCTGGAGCAATACGCTATTCAACCCTAAAAAGGTTATTGTAAATTATTCCAATCCCCATCCCGTTTTGGGGCAAGGTGAGAGCAGCAGAGGAGGAATTGTGATTCTGAGTGACGCTCCCCATGGGATGGTGCTGCTACACTCTGTCCCCAAACACAGGGCTGAGCCTAAAGATTCAATCTAGTCTCTTTAGATTGTTCTTTGAGTTCTGGTGTATTTACACTATTGTACTCCCAATTATAAAATAATATTTGCTAGAATAGGTCTAATAGCCATCAAAAATTAACTCCTTCTCCCAAAGGGAAATCACTCAGTAATTATCCTATCTCAGCTGAATGGACTGGAAAATCCATACTTCTCAGCTCTGTTTGCCATTATGCCTCTACAAAGAGAAGTTATAGTATAACTAACACTTTGCTTTTAAATAGCACTTGGTGCTTGAACCCCTACCAAAGTTCTGCTTTTTAAAAAGTTAGATGAGTGATTTAATAATTTGAGGAAGAGCAAATTGCAATAAAAACTGTCAGACACTTGAAAAGGGGCCTCTGGAAAGAAACCACCAGTATCTTAGGCCTCGATTCTGCAGACATGACCTACGAAATCAATGGGGCTACTCCACATGCTTAAAGTTAAGCATGCATAAGTTATTTGCAGCAGCTTGAGATACTGTACTGAGACTAGGTCCCTATCTTACTCAGCTGGTATTGCCTAGCTTTCTGTCCCTTACCTATTAATACATCTGTTAATGGGGGAGGGCTTGGGGAAACAAAAAGAAAAGATAGAGCACTCATAGAAGCAATAAAAAAAATGAGAGCAAGAGAGGAAAAGAGAGGGAACATAGCTCTTATTAGTTTGATAGAGTCTTTGAAGGTATCTTCTTCCATTCTAGTAAGTCCTTCTAAGAGCCTGAAGGAAATCTCAGAAAATAGGTCAGAGGACACTTGTCTTTGACATTAAAGGGACTGTGAAAAATAAAAGTACATACAGACTGCCATGTAGTTGGAGATGCACCAACAAATCCATTGTAGAGTCATCAGGTCCAGGAGGTGTTTCTGTTTTTATAGACATCTCCCCAGCAGCGCACAGAGCTAAGGTTGGTGATTTATTTTAAATCACCTGGTGTCCATGGCAAAGCACAAACAGCCTGATCTCAGCATGCCATTACACGCTGCTAGTCAGAAATTCTGCTTCCTTTCTCTCTGTTAAATGCTGATAAATAATCTATGAAGATTCAAAGACCTGTGGTAGCAGTTCTGAGTTTGATAACCCACATGTTCGTTGTTATATATCCTAGAGGAAAGGATCAAAATAGGAAAGCAGCAGGATCATTTCCCTTCCTGATCACCAACAAACTTAAACTATACTGTACAAATAACTACAATTCACTGGGGTTACTGACAATAAATTTCAAAACACTTTTGCAGGATTAACCACAATGAACGTTTAGAATTTTTGGGAGATGCTGTGGTGGAATTTTTAACTAGGTAAGTGTGGAATTTTTCTACAAAGTTCTGTATTGTGTCTTATTCATCAAATTTCATATATTTTTTCCTTAACATTCAACTGTATTACGCTTTCAAATGTGTAAGTTTTGATAGTCTGTGTATTTGCTGTCCTGTATCCTTGCAATGATTGTAAGAGCCGCACATCTGCGTATACTTCTTTTCAAGCCTCTTACAATGCTGACGCTGTGAAGAGTAAGATTACAAGATGAAAGGCTAGTGTCTCTGTCCTGTCAAATGCTATTTGAAGTTGCTCATGACTGTAGGAGATCAACTTGTCTTGGGCCAAATACTTTAGAGCTTATAACCAATTTATAAAAAGGAGAGAGATTATTTTTAAATGTGTCATTTTGTTTCCGTGCCTTCCCTTGATCTCTTCCCCTCTAATCTCGAGAGTGGTGTTTACAAGCAATATTGAATGTGTAGAATTTTTTAGGGGGATTATTCTCTAAACCTCAGTCCTTAGGGGCACAGCTTGCATCTTGTCTTTCAAGAATATATTTACATTCATGTACAAACCATTAGAAAATAATAACACAAAACAAAATTCACAGTTCATCAAAAATCACACCCCATTTTGCTAAACCGAGTCTTCTGAAAGTAGTAAATACTGGGAAATTACAAAAATACTCAAACTGGACTTTCTGAGCCTAGTGCAAGTGGCAGCTAGCTTGGTGAAAAGTGTCATTTATGACAAACAGCAATATCAGCATTCAATGTGAAAGATTTTAAATCCTTTTCCAGAGCCCTTGTCAGTCCATTTTTAAGAGGGAAGTAGTCAGTGTGCTTAAAGGGAGGCTTTTAAAAAAGCTCATGGTATTATGGATAACAAAATTGCACTTTTGTAACCATCCTCCGATACCCAACAGCTACTCTGGATTATGGGCCACGTGTCTGTCAATATCTATTTCTTTACTTTAAAAATCTGTGGCCTTTTCTAGAAGGAGAGAGGAGGCAAATTTTTTTGGTGATAGAACACAAATCCTAGTATTACTGCTTAAAAACTACTGTTTAATAGTAAACAATCCTCTGAGACTTACAAACCTGTATATTTGGATTTATATGTAAATTTCAGTGTACATTTTGGGCTTGTCTATACAATGGGGTATCACACTTTATGGGGTTGTGATTTCTAAGGAGTATTATTGTTTTGCACATTAGCGCTATGACGTAGTGCTGTTTGAAATAGTACTGTGTTAAAGTGCACTAGAGAACCTTTAGTGTGCATTAGCAGGGTCTATAGGCCAATTAATGTCCAACATGTGAGCATGCGTTAGAAATCACACTCCCATAAAGCACATTACCCCACTTTGGAGACAGATCCTTCATTTTCAGTGTTAAACCTCTGAAACGACAATGACATTTCTGAGAGATCCACACCACACTCATAAACGCTATTGCTGTAGTGCATTAAAATATGCAACTTCTAGATGTATAGTTTATTATCATTCTCTAATAAAGAAATGTTTTAGAAGGGGATCTGAAATAATCCCTCTTCCTCTCCGGCGATATATTGCATACTTGTGTCTGTGTCTGTGTTCCAGTACCCCAGAATACCCTCTCTAAAGTAATTGACAGTTTTCATTATCTATATAAACCTTTATCCTTTTTTTACATTTTTACATTTTTTTTTAATTTGACATAATTACGAGAACTCAACAACAAGTAGTTCAGATCATTCCTCCCAATATGTGATACCTTGCATTTGTCAGTATCTCAGCAATCGTATGGCCCATTCACCTAACTTTTGCCCCAGTTGAGGAAAACACTTAAGCAGTTTTTATTGTTGACTAACTTAAATAATTTCTTGTCATCTGCAATTTTTTCCATCTTGCTCTTTGCACTCTTTTCCAGATCACTGATGAATATGTGAAACATCACTGTGTGGAACCTTATGATACCTCACTGTTAACCTTTTGTTAAATTGAGGCCCAGATTTTTAAAACTGACTAGTGATTTTAGGCACCTTATGTGACAGCCTCCAGCGTACAACCTGGACGGTGAGACTGCTGTGTCCCCTTTTTAGTCTCTGTATCAGGGTACCTCTCACACTGCTCTGCTAGTGACAAGCAGCTCCTTCAAGCTTCGCTCCCACATAGCCATTAGCCTTTGAAGGCACACCCAAAGTTACTTGCAGGCTCGCACAGTCACTCGTAAACTATACACAGGGAGACACCAGCAAATCCCCCCAGCCCCAGCTTTGTACCCCAGAAATGTACCATCCTACACCGCTCAAGATCTTCTTGATCAGTGTAAGCTCATTAGTTAGCTTGCCACTCCTTCAAAGTGTAGTGGACATGCCCCAGCCTTTGTAATCTGAGTAGATTCCTCAAGCACCTTAGACAAACTGGTAAAAAACATTAAAATAAGTTTCTTAACTACAGAAAGATAGATTTTAAGTGATTATAAATGTTTGGCATAGAGGTCAGAGTTGGTTATATAAGAAATAAAAGATAAAATCACAGTCTAAATCCTAAACTTTATCAGACTAAGCAAGATTTGAATCAAGCAGTTTTTCCTCACCATACTGGATGTTCCAGGCAGAATTTAGTTCATAATTCATACTAACTAGAAAGCCTAGTTAGGACCATCCCTTCTTCCCAGTTCAAGGATGCTTCCCTTTGTCTTGCAAATGTTCTTGTTTCTAGGTGTTGAGATGAGGGAGGCGAAGTGGTGATGTCATTGCCCCTCATTTTATACTCTCTTCCAGGTGCTGGAAAGATCCTCGCTGTGTCACGGGGGTTAGACAGCCCCCATCTTGTATGTGCTCTCTCAGGAGTTTTCGAGAGGGGTCCACTGGGAGAGTCGATTCTCTTTGATGGGCCATCAACACATGACTGACTAATCCTACACAATACTGTTTAAAAACAAGTTTTTACTATAGCTGTGGTGGGGAGGGAACTGTGTCACCCATTAAAGAACATATTGAGGTGTCAGCATCCCACAGAGCAGCAGGTAACTGGTATAGACTGTAATAGCAAATGTATCAGTGTTGAGTCTATTTGAATTTTTTCCTTGCAGTGTCCATTTGTACTACCTGTTTCCAAGCCTAGAGGAAGGGGGGTTAGCTACATATCGCACTGCCATTGTTCAGAACCAGCATCTTGCTATGTTGGCCAAGGTATGTACAGGCATTTTTATCTCTTTATTGGAATTATGTAGCTATGATGTCTGGCAGTGGGTGGGTTAGTTACTGGTCTGTCCACCTATCAGTATCTTTACTATATGTTTTGGATTTGAGTTTGGTCACTAGCTCTGTCATTAGTTTTGAAGGTAAACTTTGAGGAAGTCACATTTGGAATCTGACAAGGGGAGGGAGGTATATGGAGGGGGCATTCAGGAGGAGTGACTCCTTCTGCTAATATATGGACTTCTAGGGCTTCTGTCATTAAGGCCTCCATATATTTAACCGTTTGTTGCACTGGAGCTAGTGAATGTTGGTAGTGAATGGATAATTGAAGAGCAAATTTGATAGTTGTAGAAGAACCTATAATACAGCATATGTAGCAAGAAAGCATAGAGGGAGAAAGGTGAGAAAAACCCCTTTGATTATTTCCCAGCCTGGATATTCACTGTTTAGGCTTACTGCCTTCTGGCAAAGAATAATATTAGAAGGGCTTTTTGTGATAAATAAGATCAAACTATGAAAAAATATAAGAAATTCTATGAAGTTTAGCTTTTTATTAGATTTTGTGAGTGATGTGTGTTTGGGTTTTTTAAAATTTTCTCCGTGATAGTAAGATTGGAATATGCTACAGAAACCCGATTAAATCCATTTTCATGATGGTTTGGTTGTTCAAATTTGGTTTTGTTAACAGTAAAAATCTTACTACATTTGATTTCAAAGAAACACCCTCCCTCCTGCAACAACAACAATATAGCAGGCCAAAGACTTACCAAGATTACACCAGCCAAAATTTATATTCTAAATATATTGCCTATGGTTTCAAAATTCCCTTTTTAGTCTTCTTTCTCCATAGCCAATAATTTAAAAATGTATTATCCAGTCCAGAATTATTGTCAAAGATTATGCATTTAACTTCCTGTCCTTGTTCTCTTCATTTCCTATCAGGAATGGAGGGGCAAGGAATGAACCCAGGAATTTTCTTCCAAAGGGCTTCTTTAAGTATGCAGTGAGCAAGACAGTACAGATTACAGAAAAGCCTTTCAATCAAAGCTCCATTTATAAATATGTTGTTGTTAAAGTACCACTTTAAAATGCTTTATCATTTAAAATCCTGTGTGAAACAGGTACATGTGTTCTTAAAAATATCCATGTTCTAAATATGTTATCACATTTATGGCCTCTTTTGAGAAAGTTGCTTATGTATCTTACAGCAAGTTTTATAATGTAAATATATTTTATTTATTAAATATAAATTTACCTGATTTTCTGGGGGATGCTTTGTTTCCATCATCCCTTCTCTCCCCCCGCCCCTTTGTTTAAATATCCCTCTACAACATCACACTGCTTCAATTTTCTTCAGTTCAAAGAAGATAAGTAAGATCTCTGGTAAATGTTGGTCTGTAATTATCTGGAAGGGTCATGGTTGAATAATATGAGGTGGACTCTTCTGTATTGTGGTTTGCTCTAGCCCTCTGTGGATTTCTCTGAGGATCCAATATGTGTGAATATTTCTTCTGGCTGAGCTGGCCCATCTTCTCTTATAGTCTGTATCTACACAGATACACAGCACCTGGGTTTTCCTTTTAGGAGTCTCCTTCCACCATTGCTGTAGCTCAAAGTGGGACACTTTTGATTTGCCACAGATAGGTTTGCTTTGCTTGGCTGTTGGTTTTTCCTGTAGGTTTTTCTCAAAGTCCCTATTTTATTCTAGGTATTGGTGCATCCAAATTGTTTGTTTTGGGATTCAAACTACCAATTTCTGTTGCGCTCATATTACTTTATAATCTAGTTTTAGAAAAGATATCGGCAACCTACCTTGATCAAATCTGAAATTATTAATTTATTCAAAAAAGTATTAAGCTGGAAAAATTGGAGTTGACACTAAAAGCAGAAAATAACCTTCAAGAAGCTTAAATTCAATGTAAACCACAACATTTTATTTTGATGTTGATTCTTCAGAGTAGCTTGCCTCAGTGTACAAAGTGTAGTGTAATATAAGTGATATCTTTTTTGTTGTATGGCAAATAGGTTTTATCTATTGAAAATTCAACACTGTTTTTTAAATTGAAATTCATTTCAGACCATAGATCTCTAAACTGTTTCAGTTTTCCAGCCTCACCTATTAAATGCACTCTAGGGGGACACAGTTGAAAATTAATGAGAAATTGGTCTATGGAATCTTACACCAGTTTGGGGAAAACCTATTCTAGTACACATTTTGCAAAATGCACAAATCTCTCTTCTTCAAAAATTCCTTTAATGGCTTTGTGTCAAAAAGATAACTATGTAAAAGGAAACCTAATAATTCTTATGGGCATTTCCATATCAGAATGATCATATATCACATAATACATGGGACACAGTACCTGTATCTATAGGCAAGCAGTCCTATAGATTAGCAAACAGACTGATGTGAATAGGGTACATTTGGAAAAAAAGAAAAAAAAAAGAAAGCCATGTGGCCCTGTGGATTAACTGTTCCACAGACAAGAGGCATTTGCTACTGCCACGTGTTGCTGCGGTAGGCCTGCTTCAGGCAGGAGATGGATTTTTATTGGATTCTGGCCACCGATGTTACTTCTCTCTAACTTTATTCCTCTTCCCTTTGGTGAAATCTTTCTCCCCATCTTTAATTCCCCTACTTCTTCAGGGAAAAACATTGATATTATACTACTGTGGCATCATTCAACCATGAGACAGGATTAGGTTCATTCTTACCTCTTTTCCCCCACCAAACTCATCCACAGAGGTCAGTACTACCATTGCTCCCTATGGCTTTCTTTCCGCCCTTGGTTTTACTATTTTTCTTCACCCTGGATAGTTATGTCAGGAGTTCAATATCAAACTCTAATTGTTTACATAGTAAGCTACAATAGAGTAGTCTAGTTTTATATTTGAGGACTAATTATACACCATTGTTAGCTGGAGGACTGCTTTTCAATTTTCTCAAAGCGAGTTGTTCCACAATAACATATATGAACTAATAAGGCCCCGAAATGCTGTACGATTGACAACCTGAATGCTTGTATTTTTATAGTACAAATGGTCAACAGTTTCGACTGTCCTTTTCACATATTGTGTTGGTATTTGTAGAAGTTGGAACTGGATCGGTTTATGCTTTATGCTCATGGACCTGACCTTTGTAGGGAATCGGATCTACGTCATGCGATGGCCAACTGTTTTGAAGCTTTAATAGGTAAAGTATGTGCACTCTGTATGTATGTATGTATGTGTGCATGTTACATATATTGTCCATAATATTATTTTGTATGCAGTAGAACTATGAAAAACATTGGTTTGTAACCTTCTTAATGAAATATTGACGTTTTTTGACTTACATATATAGTCCTGGAGCCTTACAACTCCACCTCTTCTTAGAAGGGACCAGGGCACAGGCAGTCTTGCCTAGCGGTCGCAGCTGGGCAGAGGTCTGCACACCAGGGACAGTAGTCACTGATAAGGAGTTGGAGGAAACGCAAGAGCTGGATTGTAAGGAAGAGTGAGACCGGGGTCGGAGACTGGAGATCAGAGGGAGTAGCAGGCTGGACTCAGGAGGCAAGAGTCAGGGTCAGAGACAGGCTGGAGTCAGAGACTGGAGATCAAGGAAAGTCTAGCACTGCAGCAGGCTGAAGTCTGTGTGATTGCCCAGGCAACCTCTGGGGTTAAATAGGGCAGTTGTCCAGTCAGAGGGTCGTCACTCTGTCTCTTGGGCAGTACTTCTTGCGGTGCCTACTCTCCACAGTGCTCCCTTGCTGTGCCTTAGCATGGCCTCCCAGCAGCTGTCCCAAGCTCTGCAGACCCAGGTTCTAGTCCTCAGATCCTTTAACTTATGCATGATACACACTTCAGTACTGAATGCCATATGAATTCCACTGAGTATCATTGGCTTCTGTAAAGAGACAGGCAGGTGGAAGTTCAGGGCTTCAAAATGAAGTTGCATGTACCTACAATCTGTGGAGTCTCTCACAATGAAGTAAAAATGTTCATAGAATAATTTAACTGTAAAAGGAACAAGGAACAGACTCTCTGTTGCTTTTTACAGATCCAGACTAACACGGCTACCCCTCTGATACTGTAAAAGGAAGTTTACTATAACTGCACTTTTGCTTCCTCCCCTACTCTCCAGTGAGCATGTCTCTCTAGACTGTTCCTAATCCTGAGTATTTACCTGTGCTGACTGCTATCCAGATTTTGCAGACAGTTTGAACCAAGTCATACACATTTTCCCTTGCCTGCTAATTTGCGAGACGTGGATAAACCAGCACAGAGATCTGCCAAGACAATTTTAGGGTTTTGTTGGTTGGTTGGTTTTTTGTTTTTTTTCTTCAAAGACAAACCTTGAGAATTCAGCCAGGCCAGTATAGGAAGGTATAGCATGCTACCAGAGCTCTTCCAACTGAAAGAGGGACCAGCATCAAATCAGCTGGAGGGCACTAAAATCTTGTTCGATGACTGACTGCACTGGGTAACAAGTATCAGTGAGGAGAGATAACACCAGTGTCGTCTGCTGTTATCAACTAAAGCACAGAAAACAAGTTGGCAGGCAAATGAAAATTGGTGTGCATTGCATCCCAAGTTATAGGAAAATTTTACTGTTTTTTTTTTTTAAATAAATCATCTTTATTTCTGGACAGAACAAACACAATATTAATATAAATACATTTTTGTATATATATATGATATATATGTGTGTGTGTATGTATGTGTGTGTGTATATATATATATATAAAGTCCGAGCGGCTTTTTTTTTTTTGCTTCAGCAAAAATGGTAGAGCCGGCGCGGCGGGGGGGGTGTGCTCAAAATTTTTTTTACTGATTGTGAGTGCATATCGCGCACCCTATCAAATAAAATTCAACAGTTCAAATTTATACACTACAATCGAAAATTCAAATGTATGAAGTACAATAATAAAGTTTAATTTATCTATAAAAGGTGCTAACTGCACAAAAGACATGGAAAACATAAAAATAAAATGAACAAGCAGTGAAGTAAAATAAAATTTATTGATGAACTCCACAGTAATCATTTCATACAGTAATTGGGGACATTACAGAAATGGGTTATGCTACCCACAGTGCTGTGTTGCTAAGATTTGAGAGGGAGTTGTCATATTATGAGATTAGTATCCATGTCCCTTTTGGTCTCACCAAAGGAATTTACCCAAATTAGACTTTAATCTGGCAGTTATTTTTGTATCTTCTAGTATAAATTAATGCTTTATGGGAAGCAACTTTACTTAAGTCCCTTTACTGTGCAAGTCCTGCAGGTGTGGGATTTGGATCCTCTTTATGCAGTAATAACCTTTTTTCTACAAAATAGACTGTAGACGGGTATTAAAAAATAAAATAAACTAAAAACAGTATCTGCCCCCATGTCCCCACACACACTTTCTTGTGGCTGTTGGATAACACTGTATTTAAGAGACTCTTACATTGATTTCCAGTCAGAAGCCATACTAATACTATTTTGATGAAAATACATGGTGGTTGTTTGGCCAACAGAATCCTCCCTTCACTCTTCAATTTAATCTTGCTGGCACTGACTGTCGTTTTTTGTAGGTGTTCTCAATGTACCAATTGTTGTCTTCCTGGTATCATAACCCAGTGGTCTGGAAAGTGGGGTGCGCAAGAGGATCCTTGGGGGTGCGCGGCAGGAGGAGTGTCGTTTGTTTGTTTGTTTGTTTTTTGCTTCGGCAGTTCGGGTGGGAGTCCGAGCGGCTTTTTTTTTTTTTTTTGCTTCGGCAAAAATGGTAGAGCCGACGCGGCAGGGGGTGCGTGCTCAAAAATTTTTTACTGATAGGGTGCGCGATCAAAAAAGTTTAGAGATCACTGTCATAGCGGGTCAGTGTTGGGAATGATCCCAGTGAAGGAGGCTCTTATGTGAAATAGAATAAAATAAAGAAAGTAAACACTTTGAGGCTCTGTCTATGTTAGAAAAATGTACCCTGGTATAACTACGAGTGTAGTTACGCTGACTCAACCTGTAATATACACATGCTTCATAGGTGTAAATGTAATGACATCCTGCAGGGGTCATATGCAGGGACTGGACCTGCATCTTCTGGATCTAAAAGCATGAGTCTTTACTGTTTGATCTAAAAGGATACCAGGTGGCTCAGGAGGCATAGCAGACACATCAGCCTTTTTATTGGTCTAGCAGCTGGGGAGGCGGGGAAAGAGCCACAATTGGCTAACATGGGTTACAGAAAGCAAGCTTGACATTGGTGCAGTTTACTCCAGTAGATTAAGGCTTGATTTATACAGTTTTTGTACCAGTTGAACTATTTTGGTTAAGGGGATGATTTTGTTTTTTCTAAAATAGCTATACTACTACAACCCTTATAGTTTTACCCATATAAAGGAGTGTTATATTGGTATAACTTATTTCCCTTCCTGTATGGGAGAAGCTATACCAGTGTTAAAGCAACTTTATACAGATATAACCGCATCCACACTAGAAGGGTTGTACTGTTTTGACCATATTGGTATGGTTAAAGTGATATAGCTTTCTAGCATAAACAGTCACCAGGTAAAAGCCCTACTCTATATCAGTGCAGCATGTCTCCCTAAGGGGTTTTCCCTGGTGTAACCACATTGAGTTAGTTACACCAGTGCAAATGTAGGGATTTGACAAATTTAGGTATCGGTGTAGTTACACATGCAAATATCCCTGGTGCATGCAGGACTTAAGTACTGGAGGAACAAGAGATTTATGCTGAACTGTGTCAAGTTAAACTAAATTTCAACTGTTTTTGGAATGGGGGGGAAAATGTATTGGGTGTTGTTTCAGCCCTGTCAGTTCAGCTTTTTATGCATTACACGGGCTCCTAATGCATTTCTTCCTGCCTTGAAAGATATATTGTAGCTTGCTTAGATGGTAACCGCTATATGGGTTCTGCCTTGGGCCATATGGCATTTCATTTGATCAAGTTGTTCTTTTAACTCTGCTTGGCTTTTCATGAGTGCTTTGATCTTTAATTTAAAAATAAAAAAGAAACAGAAGAATGAGTCCTAGACTTGTATCTTGTGCTTAGTTCACACATTTCAGCCCACTAGGAGATTATTATTGTTGTTGTTGATTGCTAAGAAAACAGACCTACTCTTTGGCCACCAGTGCAGCAAGCTGGACATGCAGTAAGTTTTTGTTAGACCCATATCTAAAAATTGGGATGCTGTGGGGAGGCAATTAAAATAATATGTATTAGGGCCTGGGGCTCCTCCCTTAAGGAAATTTAAAATACCAAGTGCATTTTACAAAATTTTAAAACAAAAAAATGATCGCCAAAATATAAATAGCAGTCTGGTATCTACTTGGAATTTTATACTAGCATAATTTGCCTCTGGCCAGCTGTTCTACAAACACTACAAACCATTGTTCTAAAGACTAGTGACCCATTAGAGCATCAGTATTTAAAAAACTGAAAAGTCAGGGAAAATATCTGCTCCCCATATGTTGGAATATTGACTCCCTGGTTCCACCTTCTCCCCACAACCAGCTCTCTTAAGTCCCTTTCTCCTACACAGGTGTGTCTTCTATGACTGGTTTTAGGATTTCAAAGGCTTCCTTGTAAAGAGGCATGGAACAAAGTGTCAGTAGTTTAAAAATGAAAAATGCCTGCATAAACATATGTAAAAACATGTAACCAGCTGGCATCAATATTGCAAAATCCACAGAAAAAGGCCACTTAGAAGCTAGTGGAGATTGCTGTTTATCTATTTACATATTGTGTGTGTATATATTTATATGTAATATATTTATTGTAGGCGAGGCCTTAAGATTACCCGACACTTCCCATTATAAGACCTTGTTTTCAGTTGTTTATAAACTGTACCAAATTAACTGTTTGGGCTGACATTTTCCATGCTGGATGTCTGCCTCAGGCTGATTTTTTGGGGGAAATTTCATCCAAAACTGTTAGGCTGGTTCTGAAAACAGTGCTTAGGAAAATACATTATTTTGCCCATATTAAAAAAATTTGCTGACCTTTTCTTTGAACAGCTCTAGTTCCTCCATACTTTGGAAAAGGGACTAAAAATTTGCCAGGGGGTTCCTTTTGTGTCAGGGATATGCCTTTGTGATCGCTGTGATGCTGGTTGACCATGTCATGCTAGAGTTTATTCAGGTCAGTTCACTTGTATAGATCAAAATAATGGTTAGATATATAAGGCCTGGTCTACACTACGACTTTAATTCGG